GTAGGACTGTGGAGCATACTAGTACTTTGGCCAAGGTTCTCATGTATGACCTTTCTTGTAGAGCCAGAGACACCAGAGAAGGTGAGGGACCAGGAGGAGGAGAAGTCAGAACCAGAGAAGGATGCAGAAGAGCAGGGGGAGATGGAGAACCAGACAGAAGAGGAGGAGAAAGAAGAGCACAATGAGGAGGACCAGACAGAAGCAGAGAAGAGGGCAAAGAATGTAGAGGCAGAGCTTACAGAACCAGAGGAGGGCCAGGGAGATGAGGGCAAGGGGTCATCCAAAGATGTTAAGAAAGAAAAGAAAAGGCGGCACAAGAGGACCCAACCCCCCTCCTCAGAATCATCGATGTCGCCCAGGATGAAGAGGGAGGATGGGTCAACATTTGTACATTCATGATTCATTTGTACATTCATGATTGTACTTGAGGTGTAGATCTCAGGTGGAGCTGTATGTGAGATTTGCAGTTAAAAATAGACACTCTGTGTAGGACTTTGTTTGGAGTTGTACTTGAGGAAGACTTGATTTGATGAAAGCATTGTGTCTTGAGTCATGAGCTGCAGTTGAGATGTCCATGTATGTAATCACTGTTGTTCCTGTCAGGTTTGCGAAGAAGATGAAGCTCCTCAGCAAATCTACAGGAAAGCTGACCCATCTCTGTGAGTATGAAAAGTTGCGCTTGAGCTGTAGGTGGTGTGAGAGGTGTTCAGGGGTGATAGATAGGTTTTGGGGGCTCTTCCCACTGTCAGCTTTGAACAGAGCTCTCAACTGGATAACAGTCTTGGGTGGTGAGGGCCTCAAATTGTACATGTGTATGTGGTTAACTTGTACTTGAGGAGTTGTACCTGAGCCTACTTCAGTCTTACTTGTAAACCTTTGACTTGTTCTTGTACTTGAGGACTCTTTGTTTTTAGTGAATCTTTGATGAATTTTGATGAACTTTTGATGAATTTTTGATGAACTCTTGATGGATGTTGAAATTTTGATGAATTTTTGCCGAATTTTTGATGAACTTTTGATGAACTTTAAAAGTTCATCAAACTGATGAGCTTTTGATGAACTTTTAAAAGGTGAGTGATGAACTTGTGATGAACTTTTTAAAGTGCATCAAAAGTTCATCAAAAGTTCTTCGAAAATTCATCAAAAGTTCATCAAAAGTTCTTCAACAATTCACCAAAAGTTCATCAAAATTTCATCAAAATTCATCAAAATTTCATCAAGATCATCAAAAGTTCATGAAAATTTCCATAAAAATCAAGAACAACAACATGTGGATCAACTCTTGGGGACCAGTCTAGGTTTGGAAGGGTTTCTCACATTGTACTTGTGTGATAGGTTAACTTGTACTTGAGGAGCTGTACTTGAGATAAGGTTAACTTCAGTCTTACTTGTGACTTGTTCTTGTACTCGAGGACTTGTACTTGAGCTCTTTACCTGTGACAAGTGATGCGCTTGAGTTTGTCCATGTCTTGGTACTTGTGCCTTGTGATTGTACATGTGATGCCACTTGAAGAGACTCAGGTATAGGTTTAGGAAGCTTTGCTTCATGACAGCTGCTTTGTGGTTCACAAGTGTGTGGACTCATAGTGTTTTTGGCCTCATGAGCCAATGCGCATGAAGAGATTGGTGAGACTGAAGATCTCTTGGCTGCTTCTCAGGAGGGAGATCTGCCTAAGACACCATCGAAGGCCTTGAAAAGGCCAGCCGCAGCAAAGCCAAAAGCACAAGGAAATGCTAAAGGAAAGCCTAAAGGCAAAGGCCAAAGCGGCTTCAAACATGGGTAAGAACAAGAAGGTAAAGGATGGTGACAAACCAACCTTGAAGCGACCAGCTGCTGCTGCAAAAGCAGAACCAAAGAAAGGACAGGGCTCTAGTTCCAAGGGGGGAGGCTGTTGGGCAAAGGCACTGGACAAGGAGGAGGAGCAACCTGTGGAAGAAGAGCTGGAGCATGACCGATCAGGGTGAGGAATGTGAAGTCAACAAGAAGGACAAGAGCAAGGACGCCAAGTTCAAAAAGTTACTTGCGCAACGCCAACTTCCAAGTAAAGGTGCTGCTGTTCTCAAGTAAGAGAGGGTTGGCTCAAGTAAAGGCAGTGGTGAATCTCACGTAAAACAAGTGTGGTCTCAAGTATGGTGGTGCTCTTTTTTTGATTGAGCCTACAATGATCACTGATTTTTCTTTAGGAAACCAAAACTTTTGTTACAAAAACCACTGCAAAAGAAGACATGAAATCATAGTCAAAAAAATTTACTAAATGACCTAAATAAATTTACTAAATGACTTAAATTAATTTACATTTTACTTTACAATTTATGTAAATTTTTAGGTAAATTTGCCTTAGTAAATCAAAAAATTACCTAAATTTTGTCCAGTGTAAATTTAGGTAATCAGCAGACTTAGGGTGCCTACGATGGTTTTGTGAAGCACCTCGGTTCAAACCCACCCTGTAGCTTGGTGGGACTCAATTTGTACCAAACCTTTTCTTTTCCTATGTTAATTTCCGCTGCTGTGGTGTTGCTGTTGCTGCTGCTGTTGCTGCTGGCGCTTTGCTGCTGCTGTTGCTGCTGCTGCTTCTGCTGCTGCTGTTGCCGCTGGTGCTTTGCTGCTGCTATGCTGCTGCCTGGTTGTTGCTTTCCTACTGTTTTGCTGGTGCTTGAGTTGCTGCTGCTGCTGCTGCGGCGAATGTCGCTGGTTGGATACTGCTGCGGCCGCTGGTTTGCTGCTGTTTTGCGTGTGTTGTTGTTCATGCTGCTGCTGTTCTCCTGTGGCTGCTGGTTTGTAGCTGCCTGAAGGCGATCCGCCGCTGCTCCTGTTGCTGGCTTGCTGCTTTGCTGGTGCGGCTTTGTTTTGCTTTGGTTGTTGTTGATGCCGCTTCTGTTCTCCTGTGACTGCTAGTTGGTACCTGTCTCGATGAGGTCTGCCGGAGATCAAAGCAGGGAGACTAAGCTTAGATGCGTCTGTGACCCACACGTACGCACGCACACATCACCTTTGAGGCAAGCAGGAGTGTAGTTTGCGTTTGACATTTGTTTGCTCCTATGCAGGGGAGGCCGCAGCAAGCGACAGCGCAAGCGGTTCCGAGACGGGTGCGTGTTTGGCTTCACGCACGGACCTACACCTCTACTGAGCGATATCGGCGAAGAGCAGACACCGAGTATTTTGATGCGGCAATCCGGGAGCACGATGCCATGGTGAAAGCAGACGCAGGCGCGTCGGACCAGAGTGCTGGAGGGAAATGAGACACACGCAAGACTAGACAGCAGCAACCAAAGAGTACCAGCAAAGCGATTGCAAAAAGACGGATAGCAGGACTGCGTGGTTTGCCGCAGACAGGCGCCGCGGTTGAGCGTCGTGGGAGGACCGGGGCCAGTGCCTGACTGTGCATCTTCCCCATGCCGTTGCATTTATGCGTAGCCGTGTGTGTTTGTTTCTTGAGTCTTGGACAGTGTCCGGAATGCACTTGTTTCCTGTGGCAGGAGATGCAGAGAGCTTCCATGGAAGCGTTGCGCTGCAGAGCCAGTGCGGCGACAGAATGTTTGTTTGGTGGATGCTCTGCGATCCTCGGGCGTCCATGTCCCGTACGTGTCCGATGGACCCTTCAAAGCTCTGAGTGACGGGAATGAGTGGCTACGTCCTCATGGGTCGTTTGGGATGCAAGCTCCTTCTTGTGATTGAAGAGATTTATTCTAGCGTGTTTTTTTTAAAGAGAGTCCGGGGAACTCATTCGGATCAGGGAATCTGAACGCCGTGGATGGATATCCCTTTTTCATGGGACCACAGATGAGTGATGTCCCACTCGTCCGGAATCCAAAAAGGACCGCAGATCCGGGTGAGTGGCACCGAATCTGCGAAGCCGCGCGAGTTGGAGCGCTCCATTTGTTACAATAAACGCATTAAACCCCTTCACCAGGAGTAGTGTCCCAATTCCAAATTTGTTTATGTTCGTTTTTCCGGGGACGGGTGCTCCTTGAAACGAGTCTGGAGGTGGCTTTCTGCAAGGCCACTGCAAAGCCGTGAGTTTGGTTTCAAGCAGAACCCTAAAGAACTCGTTTGAAAAATCTACTTTGAAAGAGAACGTTTCTCAATCAAGCAGTTTTTGTCGGAAAGCATGCCAATTCACTAAGGCGTCCTTTTTTCACACCGGAACCCGGATGACTCAAATCAGCCAGCATCATAAGTTCTTATCAACCGTGAGTTTTCTGTGATGCTTGTGACGGGGTTTCCCAGTTTCAGTAAGAAGCTTGCGGGTTGAGAGGACCGCCCTTTCTCTGATATTATGGTTTGTGCGAAGGGCTCGAAAAGCTTGCTGTCATGAGACCACACCAAGACTGACACCCACTTGTAAGATGCCCAAGAGAGCGCCTTTTATTGTGTAACATGTTTGCGATGTTTTTTGGGCTGAATCAGCAGCATGTGCGCACTGACTCCGGTATTGTGCATTAGCTTCCTTAGGAGTCGTTTCAACAAAAAGTTCTGTGTATTTCTTACAAGCTTACTACTAGCAACTAGAAGCTTCCTTGCGCATCGTTTCGCCTGTTGCAACAAGAAGTTTTCTGAGTATATCTTGGAAGAATAGTATAGTAACTACCTTCCTTAGAAGTCGTTTCACCTGTCGTCCCAAGAAGCTTGAAGAAACTACTCTATTTTAACCCGCGGTTAAAATAGAATAGTCTAGGGTTAGAAAAGAAGGTTCCAGGGTTAAAAAAGGTTTCTAGGGTTAGAAAAGACGGTTCCAGGGTTAAAACAAAAGGTCAGGGTTGGAAAAAAGAATCAGGGTAAAAAAAAGGTTGACCGAAAAGCAGCTGTGCTTAGATCGGTGTGCCGCGCGGGCGTGTCCGGCTAATTCGCTGCTATTTAGTGTGCAGGTGAGTTACTTTAGAAAAACACATACTGCGTGTTCAGGTGAGCTAATGTTGCTTGCGCAAGTGAATTGCCGTCCTCCAGGGTTCATGTTCATCTTCTGTTGAGTTTCAGAGTTTCATCATGTTTCATCCCTCAGGTCTTCAGCGTTGCGCGTCGGCCTCAGCTTTCAGAGGGGCTGGAAGCAAGTCTTCTTGGAGCGCTTGACCAAGGAGTGAACTCCTTTCCAGCCAATGGGGGCGTTGCAGGAGGGTGCAGGAGTCAAAATCATTGGAGATCATTGGACTCCCTGCCCTAAAGTGCTCATCGCCAAACATTCCTAGGCCCTTGCGCTCTGAACCATCAGGCTTCACTGACTTCGCAACGATCCTCACAAGATGTGCCCGTTTTCTGTCCAGCCAGTGTAAGAAGGGACGCATGAAAGCCAGTTCCTGGTCAAAAGACAGTTGATTGGGAAGGACGGCTCTTCATCTTGAGAAAATCCAGCCAGTGTTGACCCATGATTCACAGAGGGTTCTACAGGGGAAAAACGGCAAGTTCCCTGATAGAAGTCGTGTTGCTGCCGATTTCCATGCCGGATGGGCAGCAAACAGGTAAGAAAATGTGAGACAAATTCACAGCCCGGGCACTAGATGAAGATTGAACATGTAGCTGGTGTAATATGGGGCCGTCCTGGCCTGCTGTTTTGCTTCAACAGCAGGGTTTGAGATCCTCAGTAAGCTGGTTCATTCTGTTTCTGCACCATTCACAAATGTGAATCCACACCAAGCGGGAAAAAAAAAAATATATGTTTTGCCCCGATTAATTCCCACGAAACGCAAATGGATGCTCTTTTCTTCCTGAGGAGACAGTCCTTGACGTGCACCAATGCGTCAAGATGGAGCTTCAGGATTTCCTCAAGGACAGGACGGTCAGAGGGATGAAGGAGGCCTAAGGAGGCTTCGGGTCGCAGGATTCACCGGTCTTCTTCGATGCTTCTCATCGGTCTTCGGAGGTCTTGGGCGACAAACCGGTCTTGGTGCTGTTCGACTGGGGATATCGGATAGCAGTGGAGTCCTGTCCTTTGAGCTAACCTTTCGCCAGGATGACGGGCCAATGCCTTTCGAAGCAGTCTTGAAAAGTGTGCTATCGGTCGCTGGGATGCACCGCGTATGTCGCTGGGATTCTGACATGGTTCATCTCACAAAGTACGTTATGAATGATAGGAACATCATGAATATCAAAGTACATTCAGATGTTCAGCTTTTCCTTGGACGGAGTTGCAGATACCCGAAACCAATTGAACTTTGATCAAGCAGCTCTTGTGCCGGAAGGGCGCTTGCCCCCTGATCTCTTGGGGGCCAATAGAAAACCCCCAAAAGACCAATTTGCCAGACAACGATGGCTGAGGAATGTTTTTGGTACATCAAGTACCCTCCCACGCAAGCAGCGGCTTTGCACGTGAAGGAGGTTACAGAGCTAGTGCTGAAGGATAAAGACCTTTTGGCCACTTGGCTCCTGTCTTTGCTTTGGCTGCACCCTAAATGACTATCCAGTTGGGACGATTGGCAAACCAGAGAGTTGTGCGTCCCTGACATGGAAGCTACAGCTATAATGGTCTTGGGTTGATTTAATGCAAGAATTCATGCGACATACTGTATCCGATCTAGGCTCGGGCTCCGCGAACTCATGTGTTTGTGCTCCACCTTCAGCTCATTTTGGCCTTGAATAGCGACAGCGAAGAGTAAAGAACAACTCTGCAGCCCTCATCGCCGCCCTGCCACCACCTTCATCCATCATCGCCACTGCTGCAGTGCAACCACGGCCACAGTGCAACCACAGCCACAGCTATTGCCAGCACTCCCCACAACATGCAATACAGTCAGCAGCAGCGCTGTCGCCGCCACCACCAAGCAGTTCCAACAGTACATCCCCGTAACACCTCGATCACCATCGCCAGCCGAGATTGAGGACCCACATCCCCTGGTCTTCCCGAAACGCAAACGGGATTACAAATGATTGCCATGAAGATCATAAGGGCAGCAAAGACGAAATCAAGTTCAAAATAGTGTAAATACAGTAGCAAGTTTCTCACAGTGCATGGACATACCAAAGAGGAGTCAAGTAAAGATCACAAGCGTATCCACGGCGGCTCCAGTCAGTGCCCCAGCCAGCATTTGTCATTCGTTTGCAGGCACAGGCAAAGTATATATAACTATATAACTATTATACTTTAATATATAACATAGTACGTATAATAGTCACAAACAAAGTCCAAACCTGAAAACCGACAACAAACTCACTAAATCCTGATGTCCGTCGATCTACTGTAGTGAAAGAAGTTGACCGTGTCTCACGTATATCCATAATCCCAAAGTTGCTGTTAATCTCAAGCCTGCGTTTCTTGCGACGGAGGCATTGCTGCGGCGGATTTGCATGGACAAGCTGAACGCTTGGCAATCACAAGGACAAGTCTGGTGGCACAAGGCGCTCCAAACCTCATGACCAAGGGCCATACATAGGTTTGGTCATGCTTTCGTTGTGCAAACCAGGATTCCGTGGCTATGGACCTACAGCTGTGCAAATACTGCAGTTCCTTCGTTCAAAGAAGAATGCTGATACCCGAGAGATTTGGTGACCCTCTACCCAGGAGGTGAAGGTTTGTGAAACTGAAGGCATTTGTCTGTCCCTTCGAAAAGATATTGTCACGCTTTCTTGGAGCTTTTCTTCAGTTAGCTGCCTGTTCCACTCCGTGGAATTCTTGTTGTATACCTAGGAACAACTCTACACAGGTCAAAGTGCCAAAACTAAATTGACTAACTATATAGCAATGACATTCCTGCACTTGAATTGATTTGTCTCCTCACTGAACCACGAAACCCTGCCACTGTACTCACAGTACTCATTATATATGTACTATACTGAATATACTACTACCATCATTGACTGCAATACAACTACAATGGATCAATCATTAGAGATTCGGCCGTTTCTGTGGTGGAATGCCTTGAAGGGGAGGGCCAAGCAATGGACATCATGTCCTATGGACCTTGCCATTCTCCGCGTGCTCCACACAAGCCTCTCCACGAGATTTTCTTTGATTCAATTCGCAGGTGCTGAAAGATATGCAGCGCCAAGCAGGCCTGATACTCTGGAGAAGAGAGAGGGTGAATAATCAAGACGTTGGATTCAGCACCATTAAATTCCGCATGATTGACTGACAGAAGAGGAATCCCTGTTGCTTTCAGATTTGGGAATGTTTCTTAGTTTGAGAGTTGGAGGACATGCATGTAGCATCATCTAGCTGTTCACATGTACTACAGCTCAAGGTCCCCGGCTGCAGCTCGAGTCGACCAGTCTGTGCTTTCAGTCAGGGGTCATCGACCATGTTCCATGTTCCTTCAGCAGTTGTCCCAGGAAACCGCTGTCTGACACGGAAAGACCAGCAACGTTGCTGCCAGGAAGGAAGAGTTCATCCAGACATGCCATTTGCGCCACATGTCACGCGGGAAGTGGGCCAGGCTTCGGTGATGACCAAGGACAATGAGCGCATGGTGGAGCTGGGTCTTCCAGAGGCTTTCGGCCTCATATCCGTCAACAGACTACTACAAGTCAAGCTGATACCCAAGTCGGATGACGAAACACTTGTCAGCTTGCACTGTGGAGAGAGGAGGAGCCAATGCCCGGAGTCATTGCCTGCGCCATTGGCCATATATCTGGACAGCGGTCAGCATGTTGGGAAAACATTGAGGAACGGCCATCCATCGCAGCTGACGAACAGACGTCCCATGAGCAGAGACCGCTCGATAAGACGGATATGGTGTTCCGAATATTTTGAGACCTTAGTGGCTTTTGCTTGGTCATTTGATGAGACCTGAATGAGCTCAAAAACATCCCTTCATTCTGCTCCTGTTGGAGATGAGCTGCTCCTTTGGTGCAGAAGGATAAGGATCCACTTCATGGTCAGAATGTCTCTGTCGGGAGAGCTCTGACATGTCACTTCACCAGCTTGCTGGAGTCACTGGAGTCTATGTAGCTATCTCAGCTTTCCAAAACCTTGTTGGTGCGGGCACCAGTGGCGTCTATCATGAGGTCAGAGAAACCACGATGCCGCGGAAAGCATGCAGCGACATGTGGCTAGCTGGGGGCGCAACATGCATTGGTTCTCAAGTTAAGTCAGTTTCCGAGTCCTTCTATTGGGGGAACCACCTGTGCGATTGTCCCCAGGCCATTCTTTTCTGGTCAGCAGGTTCGTTCTGAGTTGAGAGTCGGAGAGGGGTCATGTCTCATGCCATAGCCTTTTGTAAAGTGCAATGTCATGAACCGTGTTATGCAAGGTCATGAGATTGCACTTTGCGACAGGCTATGGCATGACAGAACTTGAGTTGACTTTGAATTCAAAATCCCATGAGTGTGTTCCTTTGGTCACCTCTGACTCCTGTTACTTTCATCTCTCTTTCTGATGCAAGGCCATGCAAGCTTCGCCGACTGCATCGAAGCCTTTGTGCGGCAAGCGGTGCGGGGCCCCGCGGCCGTCTTTTTGTTCCTTGGTGGCAGATTACTTCGCTCAAAGTTTTGAAGGGTCTACAATGTCTACAAGGGTCTAAACACCTTTGATGGAGAGTTCAAACCCTCTGGAGCTTCCAATGATGATTAGTAATGAGTAGGGTGATACTATGTTCTGCAGTTCTGCTGTTCTGCTATACCCCAAGCTCCACCGGTGACCAGGCCGTTGTTCATACACGTCTTGACCAGGTTAATATAACTCGCGGATGAACGGCGGAATGTGTCTGTCTTTCGGTAAACCATAGACTACTAAATAGGCTAAACAACTCCCCATATAGATGGTCCAAGAAGTCCCCCAGGTGTATCCAGTTGGCAAAGTCCTGTCTGCAAGCACCATAGTGACAGTGTGGTGGATTTGACACAAGTTGAAGAACCTGGGACCTGGTTAGATCAAGAGCTCTTCCAACTCTTCCAAGAAACACCGACCTCCAGAGCCTTGGAGCCACGCTGACGGGCACCGGCAGCTGACGCTGACAGGTATCTTCTGGAGAAGAGCTGCGCATTGAAGACTTTGAGCTTCTACCCTGACGATTCTGCACTCCGCCGGTCCTGGTTTCAGCTTTGCGAAGAAGAGCTGCTGCCCAAGATTCAGGAGGCGTCAGAGAGCACAATCAAGAAGCCTGTTTCAGGGGGCGAACAGGGAGAAAACGGTCGTCCATCAGTGGTTGTGTCGGGTGACGAGGAAATCGTTTCAAACCTTTCTCAAGTCACGGCACCAATGGTGTCGGATCGATCTACCATCCGACTTGCCGCAATTTTCTCAGTATCTGAACAGATGGGATTCAGGTGCCAGAGCCGACGACCCCGGAGCAATATGCATATCCTCAACATCTGCAGTCCTTGCGGGTGCCTTTTGCTGCCCACTTCGCAGAGCAGTTGGATTCTTTCCGCTCGACCTTCTTCGAGCACAAGCTGCAGAATGTTCACCACCAGGACCCCCGCTGGGAGGCACAAAACCGCGGTCAATCACCAATAGACCAAACACCACAGGAATAGCTGATTCCTACGTAGTGTATCCCCAGATCGGTATAATCACACGAATCCTTGCTACGTCTATTAACATTAGCCCATCCAAAGTGTGTGGTGAGGTGGCAAGGACCTGGCCCTAACGAAGTCCTAACGAGAGAGTGGCGAACGCGGCCTTGAAGGCACTGGAGAGGCTTGGTTGCAGCACCACCTTGTCATTGTCAGCTCATCACCGGACTCAGCATCCACCAGATGCCTGTTTGCGCCATGTGTTGACGTGCGCTGACCGGCCGACCGGCGCTGGCATTTGTCCAGGACCCTCGCGTTGGAGATTTGAGGCGTGCGATGGAGGCCTCGATCAGCGAGAAGTGGCTGTCCATGCTGAAGGATCGGTGCGAGAAGCAAACCATATTGTTGGTTGAAGGGAGAGTTTTCCCTGCCAGGCGCACTCCTATTCCATTGAAGGGTCGTGCCGGGTTTTGGGACGCCTAAGGTCCTGTTGTTCAGTTCAGCCTTGTTCATCCTCATAAAGACCAAGCGAAGGCGAAGCTTGAGAGCTGAGCTCAGTTTCTTTCTATATAATTGCTGTAAATTCTAAAACATCTAATCTAAAAGCATCTAAAGAACCATTAAATACTATCTTATGAAACATGATCGTGAAAACACGATAAGACATGATAAGTACTTTTGACGATTTCTTTTGCCTTCAATGGAACTATGTTTTTATTGTTTTGCCATGGGAGGAGCATCGTGAAGCCTACGCCCAAGACTTGGCTGCCTTGCGGTTGACCGCCGTGCCTCTCTTGCAGAAGGATCAACAGCTTTTCCTCCGGCCGATCTTGCAGGACGAAGTGAAGAATCGCGGCATCACCGAGCTCCATCAGCTCCCTAACTGCCCTAGCCGATGTCGCCGCACGCCCATGTCGCACGCCGATGTCGTCGAGGTTTTTTTCGCTTCGGTTTGGAGGTAGAGATGTCAGATCCTCAAACCGCTCAAACCTTCTTTGGGATTTCATCCGAAGAAAGTGTTTGATCTTGGACAAGTCCAAGGTTCCTATGGAGACATCAAGGGACCCTACAGCTGGCTTTGAGGCAGTTGGCAGCAGTCCCGGCTGACTTGAGAGATTTGACTGGCTTGATGGGCATCCTTCATGGGAGAGATCAACGGTTTCCAGAGAATGTTCAGAAGATGATGGGCACCATAACATCCCACGCATGTGCTGCAGTGCACCCCTGCCCTGCGACACTTCAGACACTGGGCATCTCTTGGCTTTGGGTTGCCAAGAGATGTCTCTCAGCAGCACGCAGCTGCTTGGAACATTCAGAGCACTTGCCGGTCGAGGTCAGCGCACTCAGTGTGGCTCGGCAGCTGGTGCAAGCAGACAATGTGACTGGCAGGGGGTTGAAATCATCCAGGTCGTGTTGACGAGACATTTCCTGTTCCATGAACTGATTCACTAGTGCATCTTGCACCTCAAAGCCTTTGGCGATTCTACACACGAGTTATTCTTTTTCTGGAGCCTGAGCAATGAATGAATCGTTGGTGAAGACCCAGAAGCTGAAGACTTGCCCCACAAGCTATCAAGCACACGGCGTCCATAAAAAATGGGGCGCAGCTGAATGAGCTGCCCACAACCTGGGATAACCTGGGTCATGGGTCGTGAAAAACCTGGGAGCCCCACCAGTCCACGCTGTCTCGTCCACCGTCTCGGACCGGTCGCCCGCCCCCGCGTCGTGCGGGACCACCGTGCGGGACCACCGTGCGGGACCGGTTGGTGGTGAGGTGGTCACTGAGCTGAGCTTGAAGATTGAGACGAAGAACCTTTTGGACTTCTGGACGGAGCTGGCCATCGAGCCTTAGAGATCGAGCCAGCGATTTCGCGATTTCAGCCGCGAAAGAGAGAGATAGAGAGATCGGGACACATGATGACACTATATGACACATGATGAATCCAAGACCCAACGTTTGTGGAGTTTGTTTGGACATGTGGGTGACGGACTTGTTCAGGTGTTGTTCATGGACCTCCCAAGAAGACATGCCTATTTTGGAAGGTTGTGGGGAGAACATACCACATTCTCAAGGATCCAGAGACTGCCAGACGATCTCTCCTAGGAGCCGATCCGGAGCGCAGATCAACTGAGTGACTTGGTGCCCTTGGCTCAAGAGGGATGTGCTAGGAAGAGGTGGAAAGAGGTGGACCAAGAGGGAAGTGGAAAGACAAGACGCCATTTCTTCATACTTTTGAATGTTGGTGGGAGTGTCTTTGGAAGGCAATGATTTCATAGTTCTTTATCATTGTTGTCACCTCCAGACCACCCAGGTACTGTTTTGTGAAAACATGCTCAACCTGTTTTTGGAGCACCTATTTCGAGGAATTGTCTCAACACACCAACCTATGAAGCTGAACTATTGAGGGAACGGTGGCTGCTTCCACAACCAGCCTATTTATCTCAACAGAGTCAACACATACTAAGTAACTTCAATGTCCAGCTGAAACTGTAAATTCACATCATCTTGCTCTGGGATTCCAGCAATATCCCATGCGTTCTCGGCTTTTTGGTGGAAGAGGCGAGAAGCATTTTCCAAATCTCTTACTCGCATAACATCCCAGATGCGTTCTTTCATCCTACACCTCAGGACCAGTTGAACGGCCTCCGATTCTCATTTCCAGACATATACATATATATATAATATCTATATCATATACAATACAATATAACAAGTAATTATACCAGCATAGACCCCAAACAGCGTCATCATTTTTTCGGCGTCGGCGTCGACTCCGAAAATTCCAATGTTGGTGGAAACGAATGCAAGTATACTTTTCTAAAGCCTCCAGCTGTTTGGGAACTGCACGCCCGGACACAAAGCCGGGCCACAGAGCCCAGCCAGACAAGGACAAGAGGAGGACAAGGCCCGGACACAGAGCCGGGCCACAGAGCCCAGCCACAGAGTTCAGGGGCGCGGCCAGTGTGAGTGTGGCCAGCTCTATTTTTCTAAGATAGAACCCCAACAGTAAACTGTGTGGGGAAAAAACAAAAACACACATATATATATATATTAGAGTCGTCTCTTTTATTTTTGCGAGATCGTTGGCAAGTATAGTCCCGCCACATTTTGATGACCATAGACTTCATCAGACCAGGTTCTTAGATTGCCCCCCCAGTCACGCCTGGCACTCCAACGATCCTTTCATCGTACGGTTGACACTCCAAAAAAGCAGTGTCTGTGACCAGTGCTGGAACATCCTGCATAACTTTCTCATTATTTCTTCGCAGTTCGTGCGCAGAAATATGTGGCTGGACTGCAGTCGAAGCTCTCTCGCTGTTGCCACACCGCGCCGTCCTCCAGGTGGGGCGGACGCTGAAAGCGGCCGAAGTGCATTTGACCGCCCGTGCACAGCAGCGGTTCCAGCTCTTCGCACACCAACGGTTGCTGAAGCATGGAGTGTCTGAAGGCCGGGTTGTGAGATGGTAGAGTCTGGTGAGATGGGATTCATGGGAGTCCGGATTCATCACCATGTCTGGTAGAGCTGGTGTTCATCCAGTCGTAGAGTCTGGTCCAGTTGTGAGAACATAGAGTCTGGATTCATGGGACGGTTCGAGCATGTAATGGTGAACTCGAACGTTCGTAGCCCGAACTCGAGACATCGGGTTGACATTTTGAGATACCAAGGTCGCGTTGGTGGGTTGGGGACACCCCGGTCGTGTACAACGAATTGGTGTATGTATTCCCAGAAGGACATCAATGGCCTGAACATTAGACAATTAGAAGACGATTTGATTTTGTTGGGCACTCAGCACCTTTCGATCACTTGAGACAAACGTGCTGATGGGTCGCTGCAGGATTTGGGGTTTCCAAAGATGTTTTCCTTGCAAGTCCCATTAAGCAATAGGCTCGTATGGGTGCAATAGTTTCTGAGATGTAATGTTAGTCACTCAGACATCACTTTCCCAACAGTGGGATACCACAGACCAGCTCTAGAAGGGGATTTCATAGAAACCTATGCTTGGATTTCATAGAAACGCTTATGCTGAAGCTAACGAGATTGGTGATGCTCCACATGGTGGGTAGCACCACACCGGCAGGTGTCCTGCCCTCAGTGCTGGTGGGTTCGCCAGCTGTGGCGACTGCTGTGCTGGTGCGGGACTTGGTGCAGGCGGCTGCCCTGGACGATCCCAACTGCTTCATCGGACTTCGGAGATTTGGAGTATTTGGAGATCCAAAAATCAAAGCGCTTTGGGGTGGGCGAAGTTGGCTATACCAGGTTTGCTTGTTTCTTTCCGGGGAGGCAAGCTTTTGGCATTGTTTGGATTGTCCAGTCTCTCCTAATTCTGAGGATGGATTAATAACCCCACTCTAGAAGGTTTCTTGTTTGGTGGGGTCAGAGAAAGTTGGGATCTTTTGTTAATTGAGGGGGGTCAATCAGGAGGTCACCGAGACTAAATTTCTTCATGAGGAGGGATCCCAAAGACTTAAAACAATGCCAAAGGCATGAGCCAACAATGAGCCAGCATCAGAAAAAAGGCATGTTGGAATTGAATTGGAGAAGGGCTTTTAATTTACATTAGGATCACTGGATGAGGGATAGGTGAAATCAAAGGGGTTGACGAATGGGTAGAAAGGTGCTTAGTAGTCAATTGGCTCCAAGAAAGGTGGACCAAACTGGTTGGGAAAGACTTGGGGAGGTTCTTAATCCATCCTTGACGTTATATATCTCACGTTTAACGGTGGTCTATGCTATATTTGGAGAGAGACTTGGAAGATTGAAAGGTGTCAAGATGGTTGATCCATGTTCTCCTTCGACACAATGCTGGTTAAGTTCAGAAGGCAGTGCCCGCACCAAGTCCGCTTTCCCAAAGGGGTGTGATGTGACTCTACACCCCGCTCATGGGGTCTCTCCGAGCCTGGAATGGGAGACCGCGGAGTGCATCGAAGCAGCGGGTTCTTGACCACTTGGTTTAGTCCTTGGAAGCAAAGCTTAGATAGCTTAGCAACTGATACACTGATCCGCGACATCTAAGTCTTAAGGTCCTTCCAAGGTAGAATTAATCCATTGGAAGGTGATTGTGGCGACCAACGCAGGGATGTTTGAGCAGAGAAAGGGAATTGCAAACATTGAAAACACATGTGCTTGTCCATCAACAAGTTTGTGCCTCTTTGGTTCTTCCCGAGTCAGTGAATGACTGTATATAGAGCGGTTTGACCAAGCCAAAGATGATAGCTGGAGTCTACTTAGAATCCATGCCAGCATTGTTTGGCTGAACGACATCGATGGTTTGGGTACGTCCCATTTTCAGGAATACTTCAGAGTCTTCAGAGCCTCAAAGGCTTTCAGGGTGAAATTAAATGCTTTCGTTGCAATGTTTGTGAGCGCAGCGGATCAACAACAAAATGGCCTCATTTGGGGGCTTGCGTGCTTGCCACCCAAGGAACCCCAGCAATGGCATCTTGCCTGCAGGTTGAAACGAGTCAAGGCAAAGGGAGGCCAACACGAAGGAGAAAGACCTAGAAAGACTATACAGACACTTTCAAGTTCAAGAGTATTAGAGATATTAGAGCTCGTAGGCACCTGTCTCAAACCAGATGCCCCAGCTCAGACCTGAGTAAGAGGAAAACAAGAAAACATTTCACCCATTGTTTGGGCCTCCATGCTGTCGATCTTCATGGCTCCGCTGGCCGAGGTGGTTCCAATGCATTGAAGGCCTTGGAGTGGCTTGCAAAACAGGCCCCGCTTTCCGATGAAACACACGGGACCTGGGCGGTTTTTTTCGTTTTCTTCCCCTTTCACAGCACGGGAGCTGAGGCTTGCAGCAATGAAAGTAAGAATGGTATTTCATGTCTTGGTTGCTGGTCGTCCTTGGTTTGGTGTCGTTGTGGTTGTCATTGTTGTTGCTGTTGCTATTCTTCCTTTTGCCGTAATCTTGCAAGTGCGGATGGTTGCCAACATGGTCAATGTTTCTTGTCTTGTTCGTCAAACATGTTCTGTCTCTTTTTCTCTATTGGATTACCAGTAGTTGTGAAAGAATGCAGTTCTGAAAGACCTGCACGAGTGTCGACTTCAGCGTCCAGAAGTCGGGAATCCAGTTCTTTGTGTCGTGGAGACGGGCTGGTGGGTTGACCTGAGTCATCAAAAGAAGTCAGTGTTATCATGTTTTATCGAGCTCAGAAGAAAAGCAAGTACTCAATAGTGCGCATATATAGTTGCACAAAAGCACTTTGACATCTCGATATGGAATGGAGGCAGTATAGCGACGTTCAAGAGGATGCTAAACCAATCCAGTCTTTTCAATTTCAGCTTGGGCCGACTGGAACTTTTTGTCTGAAAAGGAACCTTCGTGACTGTGAATTTGTTCCTGAGAGTATGCTGGCACTGCTGTCACCCGTGCTTTTACTTTTTTGGCTGCCGACAAGACCTTTAATGCCAGTTGCTTCTTAAAGTCAAGTCCAGATCCTGATTTCTATGCTGATGAAAGAACTCCTGCACCACCAAAAACAACAAAACTCAGCTGTAAATAATGACTGGCCACGGAACACTATGAGCCATGAGCTGAGGTATTTCAGCCTTTTCTTCCACCATGGGCATTGACTGTTTGCAGGTTTTTAGACCAAACAGTCTCTACCACGTCAAAAGGGTCTCTTGTGACACCACGCCGATAAACCGAGGCCGGTGCTGGAGCGGCCTTGAGTGCGGTCATATGCGTGGAGATCCAGGAGTGCTTGGCTGTGGGACGCGGGCTCCGGGTGGAGAAAACCCATTCCGGCAGTGGTCGCTGGATCTCAAGAATCGGTCGACCCATCAGTGGATCTGTCCTGCTGAAACCGGTGTGGAAACTGCAAAAGATGTTGAAACTCCTCGTCCGCAATGTCCAATCAGCTTTATTGTCCGGAGGAAAATGGATCCCGACAGACGGATTGTAGTTATGTACTATAGAGGTCATTCGCTTTTTCGTTTCTCTCTCCCCAACGATGTGCGGTTTCAATGCGAGCCAAGCGCCCCGAAGCACGGCTTGGTGTCTCTTTGTTGAAATGGTATGAAATTGTTATACTTATACCTGGACCCTCCAAGGGGTGTCCTGGCTGGACTACCCCACACTACCTATAGGCTTCCATTGGGCATCTCCTTAGAGGGTCCTGGTAGTTATTCAGTTATTTACCAGGCTACCGCCTGCAGCCGCCGACCCCCAAGGGATAGAACCTTAGCGCTAGCGTTAGCTTAGCCTTAGCCTTAGACCGCCCCCGGGTAGGAGTTCCCCCTTTTTTTCATGTCCGCTTGCATGTAGGTTCCCTGATCTGCTCAAAAATTGATGAACTTATTTTTAATCCCGGCCAATGCCCAGGAATGCGCTAGGCTTTGTGTAGATTTTGCGCTGGACGAGGTCCAGCCAGTGCCCGTGGTAACGTGAAAGGCCCTGGGAAGATTTTCGCATGCTTGTCAGGCGCCCGTGCCCGCGCCATGTGGCGTGTTGGTTCTAGGACGGAGCAGCGCAAACGGAAGCTCGGGGAGGTGATGGATAGCTTCTCGCGGCAGCCAGGGAAGAGACCGTAGCCATGTACACGCGGGCGGCACGCGCGCGTGGCGGAATGTCTGCAGTGCGGTAGGCCAGGGGGGGAGGGGGGGACGGAAGGGTGTGGAAGCGGGTGGTTCCACGGTAGGAGGAAGGACGTTGCCGTGGATGTGGGGAGGGTAGGGTTTCCTGGAGCACCCTTTGAGCCAAATGCAGGAGTTGAGAAGAGCCCCCGTCACATAGTGGTCGGGTGAGAGGCAGCCGGTGTTTGTTGCGGGAGAAGGGCGCTGCCCATGGTGTTTGCTAGGTCGCGTCAGCCAGCGAGGGCGTTGCCCATGGTCTCGGGTACATTCAAGTGCCACAAGTGTCGGCACCCGGACTTGTGTTGAATCGATCGGTTTCTCCCGGCGACCCAACCCATTACCACCAAAGTAGGTACCCCAACAGTCGACTCGGCGCCCGGACTTGTGCTGAATCGATCGGTTTCTCCCGCTGACCCAACCCATCACCACCAAAGCAGGTACCCAAAAAGTCGACTTTTCGGGCACCTCCCAGATTTACCTTCGGACGTCGTCGCTTGCATGAACCCCGTGATGCTCATCCCTTCTCCCCATAACGGATATCGTTGCCTTAGAGTTCAGACCCATCACCACCACAGCATCACCAAAGCAGGTACCCAAAAAGTCGACTTTTTGGGTACCGCCCAGATTTACCTTCGGACGTCATCGCTTGCATGAACCCCGTGATGCTGAAAAAGCAAGGGTATTGGCCGGGACCACGCCGCGACCAGCCCGGGATTCGAGCCCAGGACCATTTTGGACCGTGCTTATTTTCCCGCGCGGGTCGAGAGGGTGCCCCAAGATGTAAATCAATTGGGATTGCAGATTCTTGGACAATCCAGGTCGCTTTCCCGGCAGGATTTCGTCACTCCAACAAGGGTCCGGAGGGGTAGGGGAGGTAAGGTCTAGGTCTAAGGCTAAGGACTAGGTCTAAGGCTAAGGACTAAGGCTAAGGCTAAGGCCTAAGGCTAACATCGACAGTCACGCCTCACCCCACGGTGTGGGGTCGGCGGATTTACATTGAATCTGTGAATGGCCTTGGATGAAAGATGTCATGTGGACCTAAACTGTACAGACCAAGCATCCTGCAAAAGCCAGAGTCAACTGAATGAGGCTATGGGCGAGTACGCGTATAGGACATTGTAGGACACTGATCAGTTCCACACCTAGCGTTGCTTGCTGTAGATCAATAACATGATATAACATGTTATTTTTAGCTGGTGGGGGCATCAGAGGATGCTTGCTAGGTTTGTAAAGGTGGAATGCTCCGTGCAGAGCATGACTTCGCTCGCAGGACCATGGCTTTCCATTTTTGGATCCTTGGTTTGCCAATTGGACGTAGTTGCTTGATGTTGTTTGTGCCAAGTCAAGTGTTGGTTTGCCAAGTCAAGTGTCAAGGCCCCTGAAAAGGGTATCTTCAGCAGTTCTTTCCGCCCGCCAACCCCGTGTCCTTTTGCGGAAATCCTGCGGAAAGGTGGCCGTCAGTTCATTTCCCCGGGACCTTGGAGGGAAGAGAAGTTCAATCAATTTATGTAAATCCGCCTGCCTGCGCCGAAGGTGCCGAGGGCGTTGTGTAGGCTCTGGGCAATCGCAAGAATCGCAAGAAATCGGCTAGATTCAATCTTAAGCTTTAGCTTGGGGTAATTGCACGTATTCTTTGCTTCAGATGGGTAAAACCTTACTGTAATGATGGTGGTCCAAAGCATCTCAATGCACTTCCGCCAAAAAGAGAGTTGTCTAGTCAGTGATTTTCGATTTGTCGTAGGTACAAGTTGAGGTGTTTGGTTAGCATTGTCGTTTTTTTCCGATCTACTCTCGCTGCCAGTTTGAAGCAGCTTTCGATGACCCAGTATCGTTGCCAAACAGATCTTTCCCGATGTTCTGTATCGGGAACTTGTACGACTCCTGTTTGACATCATCCACCCGCCGGCGTTTGTATATGTGTGTGTGCATGCAAGAAGAGCAACCCACAGGGGGATCTTGATGGGCATTACTATTACACCACATTATACTATATAGGCATGGATGTTGTCCTGGATGGTCATGGGGTATATTCCCTCTTGGGTCCAGTTGGTCTTCGATTCACCGAGGACATTAAGCGCTCCGAGTTTCTGGAAGCAAGGAGAATCTCCAACGCCGTGGACCTTTTGCGGTCTTTGTGGCTCAGTACTGGTCCAGGTGCGTGTGGAAAACACATGCCGAGCTGCGAACTGCCCTCGGTGGAGGCTCTCGTGGTAGCACAAAACTCGTTGCGACTCGTGAAATAGCCACAGGTCACTCCACAGCTCTTGGATGCGATTACAATACGTTCAAGAATTTGCCAATCCGTAGATGTCAGTGGACTAAATGAACTTGCAGGGTTGAGCGAACGTACCACGTCGACGTTTTCCTACACTCCTTGGGAACAGCAACACTGGATATTTTTGTTGTAAATACCTCTTGTCTTGTGGTCTTTTGGCTCTCCACTTCTTGAATCCTGGATACTGGACAAAGACGCGTGTTACACTTTCCAGAAACATACGTGGATACGTGGAATTCTGCTGTTTTTTTTGGGGCAACTTCCATTCGCGAGATTTGTATAGATTATGTTTTTGTTGTGTCTTCTCTATGACCGTCGCCCCTGAACAAACAACACCCCAACAAGCTCGTCCTTGGAACGCTCGGTGCTCCGACTCCTCGCTTTCCAACTCCCGACTCCTTCTGCCGTGGCTCCCAGGTCGGTTGGTTCCTTTAGCCTGGAGCACCTCTCGGCCTTGGCGCTCTTGCGGCTCAGCGCCCAAAGGGCCGCAGTGGCCATCATCGAGGTTCGGTGTCAGAGCACGGCGGGTGACATCGGGCATGTCGTGGTGTTGTCCGGGTTCGACGGGTGACATTGGTCTTCTCCCAAACACGGTTCGGTGACAGTTGAACAAATCTGAAAAAAGGTGCGTTGATGGGGTTGTGACTGGATACAACCCTGCACTACCTATGCCAGTAGGAGTGAGACTGGTTGTTTTCCTCATTTCTTTTTGTTGACCGTTGTTGCTAGACTCTTTCTCACACATCACCGTATCGTTATCAATGAGGATCCCCTTAAGCATGCAGAATGAGACAGAATGTACCGGCAGACCTAGATGGGCTCCCGGCTCCCCCCCTTGTTTTGTACCCGTGGAGCAGGATGGTTCATTGGTCCCATCAACTACGACAATTGACATAAAGCAAATCCCTGAAAGCTCCCTAGGCTCTCGTCACCACCCACCAGATCTGCCCAGACCACCCACGCATACCCACAGAGCGGAGCATGCAATCGAGCGCACTGGTCAATCTCTTGAGCCGTCGTACTGAAGCATAGGGCATAGGTAGAATCTGCATGCCAAGAAGTTGGATTCCTGCAAGTTTCATGTTGCAGGTGTGCCAACTCCTACCAGGGTCGACGAGTCTCACGTTTCTGCCAGGATGACTCCTTGTGGGACGGCTTAGATGAGGTCTTGGATGCAGCTTGCAGACCTGGAGGTCGGTGCCTGAGAGGGGAAGCCGATCTCACGGTCTCACGCGTCTTTTGGCCAACAAGCGGCAATTATAAAGACATCGACAAGCAACCCTTTGGGTGTCTCCATAAGTGAGTCCACGTTGCCAGTGAAAGAACTAACTGCAGGCTACTAGTCCGGCTAGTCATTGTTTCTCCAGCAATCCAAGTTGTTCTAGGATGTCTACGCCTATAGGCAGACTTTGATCGTTGTGTTGTGGTGCAGAATCCCGATGTTCCGCTTGATGGTATGGATTGCACCATTGCCTTGGAAGAGGCATTGGGGCTAAAGAAACGATAGAACGAACGCAAAGAACACACACACATCATGAAGCACATTGCCTTCATGTCGATGGGCTCATCTGGTCGGGACCGAGCTTTGGCCGCCACGACCCATCATGAACGACCCCTTTTTTTCGCGCGAACGACCCATCTCTCAAGGCTTATGATACATCGCTCTCAAGGCTTATGACCAGAGCCCATCATGAAACCTCATGAAACCCATCATCAAACCAAATGAACATTGATGACACCCATGGGACTTATTCCAAGAGCTCCCCATTTTTTGCCTGAGAAAGAATGACACGTCTGACATCCAGCTTGGTAGGTGAAGATCCCCTTGGCCTGGCTCCCTTGCTCCGCGGCACAGTGCTCCGGGAGGCAGTGCGGATTGGGGGCGGATGGACCGCCGAACGGCCGGACTGGGCGGTGCAGAAAGGTGCCTGCTTCAGCAGGGGATTTCCATGGAGTTCCTGAAGGTTCCTGAAGGTTTTTTGCAGTTGCGGATTGCAATGAACGGCATTACGTTCATGAGATCTTTTGCGAGGTGAATTTGCATAATTGTCAACTGTTGTTGCCTTCACTTCGATTCGATGAAGCTTGACCATGGTGCCGTTTGACCCCTAAAGTCTTGTAGCAGATGGGTATGACCCCGCTTGCTGCTCCCGGCAGCCTAGTGGAGATGCTCACCGAGTCCAGGACTTGTTGTTTTGACATGCCACATCCTCATCAGTTGAATTTTGTCGGCAATTCTTCAGTGGTAGAGTTGTTTGAAAAGTCATCAATAATTTCTGTGGACCAAGGCTTCTTGGGAATAAAGCAGTGATCCAATGTGAGGTGCCCCACGTACATGGATGTCATCGTCAAGATCCGTACCTAGGGGACTAGAGAGCACTTGCACTTTCAGAACATTCTCGGGCGCTACTGCTGGACAAAACCATGGCGTGCTTCGAGAATTGCTTGTATGCAGCTGTGCTGACTCCAGAGGTCAGAGTACCCTACTCCCATGTAGTTAGGGTAGACGTTGCCCAAATTCAGATGCATTGTTGCTTGCCAGTTTTGTCCCTGAATGGGGTTGGAGAGTTTCAGCACAACCAAATCATCTGACAATGACAATGATAAAATCTGTATGCAAAGCACAAATCCTCGTGAAATGACAGGAACTACCTGATAATTCTACAGTTTTAAATTTGGGAATCATGGAGTTTTTGCATCTGACAGGTGAGCGACAAGGTAGCCAACCAGGACATCCTCTTGCAGCACGGCCGACAGATTCAGTGGCTTTCAGCTAGCTTGCCACGGCCAGGCGGCGTTCTGGCGGGACGTCGATCGGAGTGATGCACAGGTTTTCCAGGATGGTCAGCAGCCTTGCTGTCGTCGGTGAGGTCCGTGGCTTCTTCCTTTGGCACAGGTCCGAAGCCGAATGCCCACACATTCCAATCTGATATGGAGATGCAATGAGATGCAACCATTCTGGTAAGGGGGTCATAGTTATCATATACAATCATATCATCCCGTTTTGATCTCGGAATTGCTAGCAGCGTCTAGCAGCAGTAGCTGGAGTTCTTCTGGCCTAAAACTAACCCACTTTGCTCTCGTGTCCCTCTGAAATTCTTCGGCTTGGATCGTTTTCATGGCACCATGATGTCGGTGAACCACCCATTTCTCGGGTTCAGAAACTGGGAGGATGCACCTTCGCTACATGGAGTCGCGTCGGCGGTTCCTTGCTCGACAGGGGATGCACCCTTGCTGAAGGGTCCAGTGCCCATGTTCCTCGGTGGCTTTCTGCCAGAAGCTGTGGATGCTGCACAGGTGGGGTATTGGAAGGTTTGTTGCTAAGATAGGCTTAGATAAAGTTCTTTTGATTTGCGCATTGAGCAACAGATGTCGTTGAACACGAGCATGATCTCAGCCAAAACCTTGATCTCTCAAAACGATGGTGGCTTCTGTTTGCTTCCGCTGAGCATCTGACTCTGAGAATGAGATGGGTTGTGCGTTTGACCCCTGCTTTCTTGAGCCAATGAAGGGAATGCCAGGTTGGGGGCCAAAGTGACCTTTTGTGGATACCTGATCTTGGAATGGACGCCGGGACTCACCAAATCTAAAGTATACAGTCTCAATACAACCGATGGTACTTGGGGAGCATCATATTTTAGCTTATATGTATATATATACAGTATATACATACAATATCATACAATGACAATAGTTGTTTAAAACAAATGCTACACAGGATCATTGAGAAGAATGCACTCAGCAAGCGTTTATGGCATAAGATGCAGATGAGTTCGGACCGTCAATGCATCATGTTGTATTGCTGCGCTAGTAGCTCCTAGGGTACTGAAATCGTGGTTGATCTTTGTACTAGCCTTTGCCTTACCTGTGGATTTTGGCAGGAAGTCGAAATTTCCAGTGCGGACCTGGGTGATGCGTAGGATCCTCGCATTTGCCTTGGAACCTAGAACGATGATTTGCAGCTGCGATGCTGAGAGTCCCACAGACATAGTGGCTTCTGGATCGTGCAGTCCTTGCCCTTGCTGTCTCTTGTTCTCCAGGTGATCAGCGAAGCTGCGGGGTGCCAACAAAACACGCCCGCGTTCATGGAACTCACAGAGAAGGTGCACAGAATGGTGATGGACAGAGGTGCAACTGCATTGTTTGCCCCAAAGACTACGGAAAAGGAATCCTTCCAAAAAGAATCCCTTTCTTCCGTATTTCCATGTCAAATGTATTGTTTTTTCATTCATGAGTCATTCTTGACGGAGGTAACCAGCATCTAAGGCAAACACAGGAAGAGTTGGGGTGCTAGCATCTAACTGTAACTGAGAATCTTGACCTGTTTTGGACTAGATGTAAAGGCTGAAGATGGCTGAACTCACTCCAGATCTCTATTCTATTCCTTACGCCTCCTGACTCTTCAGGAACCAATCTCTGGAATCCCCTGACTGGGACACCTGATTTTACATGCAACGACTAACTCCACCCGTGCCATGGACGATCCCACGGATTTCCCACAGATTTCAATGGACATGGAATGCTTCCATCAAATTCCACAAACTGGACACATTCTACAGATGGACTCATCCCATGTCGATGGACGATCCCACAGATGAACGATGGACTGAATGTTTCCCATCGTCTTTTCCACAGATGGACGATCCGACCTGGCGCTTTGCGCTCTTCGCCGCCTCAGCGAGTCTGCTGTGCCAAGCGGAGGCCCTGTGTTTCGGAGGAGCAGCTTGTGACATGCCTTCTATAAGGACATCAGCATCAATTAAGTACTTATGAGGATGTTTGTGTAGTAGAGCATCGTGCAGTTGAGGTTGAAGTGCATCAAGGCAGCCAGCTTGGGGGCTGTGAAATGAGGAGCTTTGCAACGCTGCGATCTTCTTGTGTTTGTAGCGATCAATTGTATTAAGACGTAGAACGTACGAATCCACTCTCAGTGGTTTACAGAAGACATGTTTGGGTGCTTTGATGTGAGGGATACAATCCACTGCGGGAGATTAGAGCCATCCATGTATGCTGCAGGGTTCTAATTGATGAGAAATCCCAGGATCAATATGTCAGGAGTGCTGTTTTGTGTATATCTATCGATTCTAATGGACCCTAGCAGGCTGGATATGTTTCGCCCAACTTTGCCAGGTGGATGATGCGAGGGAGGCTGCAAGGGGCTGGCTTGCAGATCATCCCGCCCTGCGGAGCCTATCTCCGTTGATGAGGCGCTGAAACGTTCCATTCGGATCACCTGGCGCAGGGGGGGGTGCCATGGCATGCCATGGCTTTCTTTGACAAGAGATATGCAACCGCCGTAGTCGGAGGTTGGAACTCCCACTCCCACATCCTGTACACTACGACAATACGTGTGTATATATACACATATAATCACATATAATTATATATAATTATATATAATTAGTTATATATAACTATATTTATACATATTTACATATGTATTTCATTTCTTCATACAGCTGTGGCACCATGTCCCATGTTTCAATGATCCTTTCGAGATCTTTTGACCAATTCTACAGAATGTTGAAGGTTCAGGATTGCTGCTGACTTGCTAGTGCCTGGGAAAATCTGCTGGTGTGGGACAGTATTGATCGAGCTATATTAAAAAACAACTTACACAATTTTGAAAACAACAAACACATATATTAATACTGCGGGGACCAGCCCAGATTCGGCTGTAGATGTACCTTTGCACACAGATTACCAGCACGTAACGCTGCTGTGCTGGGCCATGCTTTGGATTTGGTTACTGGCGGCCTCCCGCTGACCTTCCTGAATCTTCTTTTCTTCCCCCATGATGCCTGGTCAACCTTGAGTCGTCTTTCCGTGGTGAGGGCAAACAGGGAGGCCCTGCCCAGCGAGATTCGGCTTCAGTTGCAGGCACGTCATATCGGCGCGTCAGAGTGAGCGAGTTCAGTCGAATGGCAGTGGTTTGGGTGGATGGTTCAAAATGGGCTGCCTTTCGAAAGTGTGGATTGGGAATGATTTGGAATGCAACTTTCTTCCAACATCTCAAAGTGTAAAGTGGACACCAGGGAAGGATCCACATGCTATGTTGGTTTGCTATGCCCTTGGATGGATTCTTTGCAGAGTAATTGTTTCTTTGCACGATTGTATATCATTATGTGCATATATATATATAATATATATATATACATACATAAGAAGATCGATGGAGTGGAAGATTAGGTGGAGAAAAATACGGGCCTGTTTTGTGGTTCCAGTGCCTTCACCTTGTTCTCACGAGGGTTCCGCACTCTGTGGAGACAACGAGGCTCGACCGGGTCAACGTTTGTGGAAATACTCCCTCCAATGCAGCCATTTTGCCGAAGAGTCAGCGGAAACGGCCGTTTCGCAGCGAAACTGGCAGTCATGTTAGCCCCTTTTTAAGTAGACAGTTTTGAGACATCTTTGCCTCAGATAGTATGACTTGTTGCCTTTCGTTCCGCAAACCTGGAGTACTTCTTTTGCTGGCCGCAATGGTCTGAACATTCTTTCACCCCTGATAGTCATGGCAACTACTAGATACGAGCTCGTCAGCGGGTCGTTGTCGAACTTGGCAGCAGGGAGGTGTACCTACTCCATTTCCCTCTTCGACGAAGGGCCTTCTGCGAGTCTCCTGCAAATCTCCTGGGGATCCGCGCCCACGGCCAGCTCGGAGCCTCTGGGCTCACGGCCAGACATGATTGAAACGTCCCTTCAACACTTGCTGGAAGGTAAATAAATCATCCATGAATGAACTCAGTATTAATTATTCATGGACACATATTTTTCCGTGTTTCTTTTGAGACCACGTTGTGATGAAGGCAAAAAATCGCTACGCAGGTGGCGCCCCTTCCATTGCTCACTGCGCTGCACCTCGCTGCGGCCGTTTGGACAGCGCCAGGTGGAGTTGGCCACTTGGAAAGTCACAAAGCACCCAGTGAGCTCCAGTCAACGGCATGGCTTAGAGACGAAGAGCTAGTGGACCACAGACGTGGATTTGGGCAATTAGTATATATATATATATGATGGCAGTAGCTTATTTGAAACAAGACTAATTACACGGAAAGCTTTTGGCCCCGCAGACCAGGGATGGATCATGCTGTTTTGCTCAAAAGGAGGTGAACAGGTCCAGGTGGTGTATGTGTGTGTCACACTCTGTATCTAAGGGTTTTCCATTCAAATGTTTCCAGCAGGGGGGCAGAGAGGACTTGCAAGGCTCTGCCCAACGAAGCTCCTTGCAAGATCCTAGGAAGCGGAAGCTGATCACTTCCGTGTACCTGCTTGTGACACTACCCCACTTTTCCTTGCGGTGTTTTGGTGCCATGGTTGTTGATCACGATACTTTCCCCTCAAACAGGTTTCCCTCCGCTCTGCAGCCGCTGATCGCCGCTTTCACTTGAGCGTTTTTGCGAAACATTTGTTCAACATTACTTTTCCACGGACTCTGCCACCTTTCCGTTCCCTCATTCCTTTCAGCTTGGGAATTGAGTTAACTGCAAACCCAATGTCAGAGTGTGGAATAGGTTTAATGTTTAAAGGACTGTGTAGAGACCATTCTAATCATTTTCGGTGGGTGGGTGTCATGAGGATTTGCGGGACCTTTGAAGCAAGTGGCTTTGGGTCGCTTGAAGGGCTTCTTACCAGCCATGCCTGATGATGAAGAGGAGGAGCGGTGTGTAGACAGATTTGATGAGGTCGCTCTGAGGTAGTCCGGGTGGCTCTCATCCGCGACACTCGCCCAATCAGCTGTGATCACCTGATCTAATATTTGTCTCAAGTTGTATAGACGGCATAAGCAGCCTCAGCCTCACAGAGCAGAATGGACTAGCTGCTTAGCTGGTCCTATGCTGGTCGTGTACCTATTGAAAAACATTTTGTTGTTGGATAACAAGGACACAAAAGACCCACAGTATGCCGTTTGCCATGTCTACAGACCACCGCCACTGGTTCTCTCATGGAGTCGTGTTTTGGGATTCGATTTTTACTTATTTGTATTGTGGGAGTTGGAGTCAACCTTTACTGTGTGTGGACAAAAGCAGCAAAAGGATGCAACAGTAAAGGTTATTTAGCCGATGTCAACTCTTGGATCATTCGTGCCACTTGGCTCGCAGATGATCCTCCACGCGCTCTTTGACGGCTACCGTACTGGGCATTTTGGGAGCGGGCATACAAGATATCAGTGCCAGTGTGGTTTTAAGTACATTGTCGCAGACTGTGGCCAAGCAGTGGGCACTGGAAGGCAGGCTCTCCGCTTGAACTGCTCAAGATTGCAAATGCAAGATTGGAATTTGGAATACCAATTATACATATCGACATTGGTAGATATTGGTAGGTTTCGCAGCCTCATTTGTGACAGGATGTTCATGAGATGCTTGTCCAAATCTTCGCATTTCATCCTCGATCCATTTGTGAGATCGGTCAAAGACACCAGAGCCTAGTCATCGGTATCTATAGACCACATGACCTCCGAACTTCCTGTTTCTCAAGTGCTTGCAAAGCATCAGGAGGCAGCTAACACAACTGAAGGAAATGCCACCGCCAGTGCTGGTGCCCTATACGCTCCTATAAAAACCTATAAATACATTTACTCGTAGTTTGGATCGGATTTCCTTGTACACAGACATTCCCGTGATGTGGGAATGGTTGTCCCAAGTATATATACTTATATATACTAATAATATATATATATATATATATTTGATATGTATAGTAACAAACCGGATTAACGACATGCCTCCAGTCCTCCAGTCCTTCATGCGCATGACTCCTGTTACGTCCAGGTGTCCGAACTGTGGTCGGCCCATTGGCGGGGTCCAATACGCAGATCACGGCAACAGGAGCTGGGCTTGAGAACCCTCTTTTTCTTCACTATGTGTGACGGACATTTACACTTTTCCAGATTAAGATGTTTTGAGATGATTTGATTTCCGCTCCATTTCGATGCAAGTAATATAAGTATAAGTGATTTCTTTGCGCATGCACCCCCAATGCTGAAGTCGCAGGATGTAGCAATCGCAGGTGTGGATTTCGGAGTGGAGATCCTACAATTTAGCAACTTGAGAGAGCAGGCCTAGGACACGGTCCAACACGGTCCATCAGGTCCATGCGTTTTTACCCCCAGGAGGCTCGACGCACAACCCCGGCAAGGGCATGCAGGTGAAGCCGGTGACTTGGGCTTGCAGCTAGGGAGTGCCGGTTGAGCGAGGGCCGCTTTCCGGCCAGATCGATTTTATCCGTTTCGTCAACAGGCTTCAAGACCTCATGGCATGTCTTGCTTGGCACCACGAGATTTGCACCTCAGGTTTGTCGATCCTACTTGACCTGTCTCATGGTACAAACAGTACTATGTACATGTTGGTGTGTCTTAGCTCTCAGCTGCGAAGTAAAAGGCAGCATTCTAACGGACTTTGCAAGCGAAGTCAGGATGAAAGTCCAGGCACGGAGCGTGCAAAACCTCCATTGAAACCAGGATCACCTTGAAAGGTTCCTGCTTCTTCCCAGGTAGCATCTCTTCAAGAGATACGACTTCATTCATGAAGCTGCACTGCTTTGATATGGCACTTTACTCTAGGTCAACACAATGGGTAGTTGACACTTGGTATTTTCAATCATGTTCAGATCAGGATACTACAATGGTACGGTGAGAACATGCCGTCCAGCTTTAACCTTCCCAGAGCAGCTAGGATATGATAGGATACCATAATTTTTGGTAGCACAGCATCTTAATTTGGGTTCTGGGTTTGTCCTTGTTTGAAGAACTCCAACAAGACCAACATGGGCGTCCACAATCTGTCAAGCAAGCAGGGGTTTAAGAAGTGAACACATCTGACTGGGACCAGCAGCGGAGATGTTGCATCCACAACCGACCAAGAGCGTCACCAAGGCTACATTCGCCATGCTGCATCCCGCGAGCGCCGGCAAGCGGTCCGAGAGCTGACGCCTTTGCCATACAGGGCTTTACATTTCCTGATGCACTCTGCCCTCTTGGGCTTCTTTGCATTGCCAAGAATCGTTTGAGTGCTTGTCTAATCTCGTCGTTTATAGGGATCTTGAATATCTCAGGATTGCCTCTGAAGTTATTCTTACAAGATCTCACTATTATTCTGACAGATGGTCCACACAAACGAAGAGCTGTGTCCAGCATCAAGAAGTCGATTTCGAACTGTTTCTGAGGTCAACTCTTCGAGCATTCGGGGAGATTCTCTGGATCATTGAATCTCCAGAGCATCTTGGTGACATACTGCCCGAGGGGTTTCTACTTTTGGGATGCTCCGATGGGTAGGTAGAAACAAACATCTAGTAAACGACTCTTGGGTGCCAGGGGTGAAAACGGTGTACCCGCAGAGCTCAGGTTCAGAAGCATCATACACACGGGCACGGGTAGGGTCGACTTTGGTGGGCGACCACCTTGCGAGTTCATCAAGTGAGTCATTGATTGAACCCCCTGCCACCTGAAAGTCACTCCAGCATTCCTCTACTTTGTTTCTGTCCATGGTGACCGCATGTGACCGCTATCATTCTCGAGGAACCCTCTGCCACTTACGATCATCCGAGGCATTTTGGAACACTTGAATGCTGATTGGGATGTGATGTCTGTCATTCTGGAGTCATCGCCAGTGGCAGTCCTCATGGATATCGCACGTGCCTGGACCGACAGCACAGTCTCATGATTCTCTTGCATGCAATGATCAGACATGTATGTATATATATATATACATGAACCCCTGAATCCTCCCCAAGGTCGGCAACACTTCCATACAGGACCCTTTGGAATGGATATGAACGGATCAAGGAGCTGAAAAAATGACGGCTGCCTCCGGCCGCCCAGTCCCGTTCGAGCGGAGCGACAGGCCACCTCCTCTTTCCCACCGAGAGCGACATGTCCGCGCTGTCCCACCTGGGCGACATGTCCGTGAGCGAGCGCAAGACCTGGGAGAAGCGACTCTCGCAGGAGCTGTCGTCGTTACGACGGATCAGCGGTGGTCGTTCGTGGGCACGGATCTGTGGGGAGAGGAGGTCTGACCTATTTGATGATTTAATGGGCGGGGATGTTTTTTGGACTCCGTTTTCAGGGTTAGGTATATAATTAGGTAGGTAGGTAGGTAGGTGTAGGTATAGGTTTTCTGAAAAGCTGGAGAGCGCGTGTGTTTGATCATTCTTCCAGTTCAACTTGAGTCTACCAGCCGGAAATGTGATCTGATCGTGTTGGGTGTGACAGTTTGCTTATTTTTTCTCTTCATCATAGGTCTCCGGTCTTCCAGTTTCTACTTCTGACTTGATTTCATGAAATTCCAACCTCCATGGGAGATTATCCGTTCGGCGTCATTCGTTTGGGTCTGAAAGACTGCATGGAGCGACTATGCTCCCGAAAACTCCTCTCTTTTGGTTGAACATCTAAACCAACCATGTGCCAGGACCAAGGACCCCCCTAAAACGAGTCTCTCGATGGAAGCTGCGGAGATATCTCAATTCTCAATTTGTTCAAGATGCATCCTCTTCTGTGAGGCCGTGCTGGAGCCCGCATTGGAGCCAACTTCACGCGCGGACTTCGAGGCACAGCTGGACTGGGGGGCCTCCCTCGGTGATGCCAAGGCCTGTTGGTCGGGAGTTTGCTGGACAGGGGAGGAGCTCGGCCTCTGCGCGCTGGCCGTCACAATTCATCGAAGACGCACAGATTCTGAGATCTTCGCGGTTTGCTAGCGACCTCGTGACTTCGTTGGGTTCCTTTTTCTATAGAGTGACTCATTGTCCATTGGTTGACTGACTGTTGTATGGAGGAGCTTTGGCTGCTAAACTGTGAGAGGCACGTACTGTAATATGCTTAGGTATGCTTATTTGGTTTTAAAATTCTAGACATGGACGTCGACAAAGTTGACAACTTGTTGGAAGGACTTTTCCACTCCAGGGCACTGCAGAGCGGTGCCTCAAATCAAAGCTTCTCAAAGAGGAGTCTCTCAGGTAGACTGCCTGGAAGTACGGCCGTTTCTGCTACTCGAATGTGGTTGTTCTTTTTTCCTTAGGCTGCTTTTGGAAGCTAAAAGCCAAATTGTCTTCATCGGTCACTGTGTCCCGTCCAGGAAGCGCTGCCATTGCTATTGGCAGATCGTTTGGCGCCTCCCAACTTGAGAATGCCAGCTATTCTCTCTGAGCAGCGAGAGGAGACACTGCACACAGGTGGGGGGGCAGCTGAGGTAGCAATATGTAGCACTGAAGACAGAGTGGCCGCTAGTCCGAGATGCGGATTTAGCCGCTTCAGTGTGCACGGCGCTTGTTGCCCTTGTTTTCTTTTGCCGCGGTGGGCCCCTTCTGTAGCCCACCGAAACCTGCCCCTAACAGGATTGGACTTTGCATCGAGTGTTTCCTTCTCCTGGTCCTCTTGTCTAAATCTCCTGTTTGATGAGGGTTTCCACAATCACCAACACTGGTCAAAACAAAACAATCACGATGGTTCATGAGATCACTCTGAAGGCAATGATGTTCAATAGATAGTTAGATCTTGTTAGGATTTACGATATATATACTATAGGAGAAAGGGCTTTGGACCCCACTCATGCAATCACTTTGCCAATACGGGCAATACGGCAAGTGAGTGCAATCTGTTGCTCTAGCTAGAGGCCCGATTCCATCCCATCGATCAACTTGCATGGTCAGTAACCCAAAAAGATCATCAGTGAGAGTGATTCCCCTTAGAAGGATCTTAAGGACCATGTTTATCGATTTGGGGAATAGTGCTTTAGATAACGAGATTCACCGCAGGTGGGGAGTCCTCTCCTGTGCCAGAGCTCCTCACGATGCAAGGGAGGCCAGGGATTCAAACCGCACGACGTGGGTATAGCTGCTAGCTCAGCTTTAATGGTTTATATAATACCCAATGGTTCACTTGGTGTTGCCCAATGGTTGAGCCATAATTATTTAACTTTTTGGCGCTTTCGGCACATTCATCCCAGAGCTTACAGGAGTTACCATTTGTGTAAGACCTGCATGCAACCAAAGAGTTCAGGGAGTTGAGTGCCCTTGGCCTTTTTGGGAATTGGTTTTCCCACTAAGCAGGAAGATGTGGAAAAGGGGTTAACCGCTATGTTTCCAGGGAAACGGCTTGGGAGTCAGAAAAAACAATCCTTCATGAGTGAAGAATGCATCTCAGCCTCACCATCCTTCATGCCCCGGTTTCCGCAGCATCCTGGAGCTGGGCGCTGGCGACTTGAGCTTCGCACTCAGCTTCGCGCGAGCACAGTCGGGCTTCGAGCGATCGGCGGACCTCACCGTGACCACCCTGGAGCATTGGCAGGTGGTGCAAACGCGTGGCCCGGTGAAAACTAGGGTAGCAAGACAGGGTTTGATTGCAGCTCTGCCCGTGGGAGGGACATTTAGCTTGCTGGCGATGTCCTTTGCCTACATTAACGGGGATCCATTGGTGGAATTGGATATACAGTAATTAGAAACAGCATCGACAGGTCACGGAATAAGAGTCAAGAGTCATGTTTCTTCTTTGACTGGGGCAGTGTGCCAAAAGGCTTTGTATCTTGGGACTGGTGCACCAAAATGCGTTGTTTTGCTGGGTTTTGCTGGTTGGGTGACAAGACGATTTGGATCACCATGCAACATGTACAGTTGATGGATGAGAATGGATGACCAGAACCCACTTCAAGCAAGGCGCAACGGTTGCAATTGCCCACGTCTCGGTGAAAAGTTCCAAGTGTATGAGAAGGTGAACGCTTCTTGCTTTTTGCAGAGCTTTGCCCGGTTGCAGACCTACTGAGGTTATCCATCTGCTGCTGCGAATCGGAATGCACCTCAGCAGGGAAAAGGAAATCTGATCATGAGAGATACAGTAGCAGTGGAGTCCGTACGTTGCAAGTCGAAAGTCAACTCAGATGCGGAGTTTGGGGAGATCAACCGCGGTCATTCCTGCTCGCAGAAGATTGGAGATGGAGCCACACTCGTTACGTTCGTAGCTTCTTGCTACTAGTCGTAGTGCACCTTGCTGCGAGTAGCATGAAAGCTACTCGTACGTCTTCGAACGAGTCGACCATGGACTCATCGACTCATCGACTCGCTAGGAGGCGCTCAGTGGGATTTAGTCCGGTTTCAAGCACCGGTTTTGAGAAAGAGTGGTTTTGAGGTGAGGATCGATTCCCATTTGCTCCACTATAAGCCGATATAGGGTGTTGAGCTGGGAGTTGGTGGACTATTGAGCATGCCTCTATACACAAACCTGCTTGACTTTCTTGGTTTCCTGTCCTGTCCTCTCACGCTCACGAACCCTTACGAGATGGCACAGAGGATCTGAGTCCGATTCTGAGCCATTTGATGTCATTTGCAAGCTTCGTTTGTTCTTCCTAGGGTGAATTCTTGTGTCATGTTAATTGTTGTGTTATGTGTGTGTGCACATAGACAAGCTTTCCTCCAAACAACTCCCACTTGTCCTTTGGAGACCAGGAATTGGAAGGCCACGGGGCCCGATTTCTGGACCAAATCGACGGCACGGACCTGCAGTCGACCATGCCTGGCCACTTGGTCGAGACGAACACGGGTCGTGCTTGGTGGGTCACTGAGGAGGGGTGGACCAGGTCTTGGGCCTTTGTGATCCTATGAGTGACCAATCAAAGGAAGTACTGGTTGGTGAGAATAGTGAGTTGGTCGGTAGGTGAGAAACCACAGAGTACTGGTTGGTGATAGCACCCGCCGACTCTGTGGTTTCGATCGGATCAATCATCAGACGGAGTCCGGCAATGCTGCCAAGGTTCTCACATTCTGTCCTAAACTTCAAGGAAGGGAAGTTTATGGCATGGAGGTCTATTAACCACCAGAACAGTACCAAGCATTTTCACATATTTTCAGCTTTCCTAAATGAACTATATACCTGAAACATCATGAAACCCCAAAGACGAGGGCTTGCGCGAACCAGCAGGGTTTTCATGGATGTGTTTGCCTCTCAATGTTCTCCAAATGGTGTGGACTTCTGTAGATGGTCGGACTTAAAGCACATCAGACAACTGATGTTCTGTGCACGTTGGTGCTTGGCGCATGGTTCGTTCGAATCCAAGGCGAAAGGTTTGATGCCATTATTTTCAACTTCCCCTATGGAGGGACTTTCTTGCAGAATGTGAATAAGATGAAGCATGGCAATGGCCTTCATCGTGCGACTCGGCTGCCTTCATCGGTTTCTTCAAGTTGTCTAAGCCGATGACAGATTAGTAAGGCATCACGCTGTTGCCAACGGCTGGTTGAAGACCTTCAGGGGAAAGTCATGAGAAAACTGTGGCGTTGAAAGAATCTGGATGTGGATCGAGGCAGGGTATTCATATGGTATTTGACTGGAATAATACTGCTTCGATTCAAGGTTGGCTTGTGCCGTATGCCATTCTCATTGGAAAGTCCAGTCATATCATGTTGCAGGACTGCGACACATCAATGATGACCGCTCACTATAGTAAAAGTCAATATAATTACAGCAATTATGAATTGACTGTCTTCCGTCCCAAGATCATACACCCGCTGACACCACACAAACGGTCCATTCAATCAAACTGCACAGTAGACCCAGTAGACTCAGGCGCTACTTGAAGGCGTTCTTGCTTCTGCTCGCTCAGTATTGACCAGCAATGGCTGCGTTTGGATGACATTGCTGTGGAGTCAAATCCAGGACCAGCTCAGATGAACAGTTTCTCAGAGAAGATACTGACTATAGGGATAGTGGTGCAGCTGCAGATGCTTTTGTGAGTTTTTTGTGTGGATTCCATAACGAACAGCTACATTCGGTACCCTACTTTTTCAGTTACAGAAGGGAAACAGATGCCTAGAGAAAGACTATTTGTTATTTGACTCTACAATCCATTCTTCCAGATGGCTGGAATTCTGCCATGTTGCCTGTACACTGTAGACGAGACCAATCAAATCTCTTTCAAGATGCTACCCACCATTCTTGCGTGTTCCAATCGCGGCACGAGTTCTGAGCTTCAATACATTCCCCCCCGACACCTCACTATGTCGACTCGGTCAGACATATTGAAACTTTGATACGGATTTTCAGCCTCCAACTCCAACTCAGGATGGAGTCGAATCTGTCGATTCCACGAAGTTGCTAATTTTAAAATTGTAGGTTGAAACTTGCTGTTGTGTCTCTTCCTGTGGGCTAATCCACAACTTTGCCGCAGGACTGGAGCGTCGCGGCACTGGCTCAACGCAACGGCTTTGTGCTGAGCAAGACGGAATCATTTCCGCGCAGCCGTTTTCCATATTACACGCCGGTCTGGGGCGATGATCGCGACTTTGAGCGGCGTCAACCATGGCAAATCTACGCAGGTGGGGTTCGTTTTCTGCGCAGTTTCGGAGGCGAAGTGGTTTCCGACGATGGTTTGGGGCCTCATGGTATTTCTTTTTTTTTCGATGCAGGGTTGGAGAGTAAATTAACAATGAGTCTTCAGACGAGCAAATGATTGGAACTACTGGTAAGACTGGCGTGATGATGGTTCCATCACTGTCAAAGTCAGTGTGTTTGACTTGTCAGACGCTGGGTGCTTCGCTTGGTTCATGTAGTATTGATAAAAAGGCATGAGAACCCCTTTCATGGGCGCAACCTTACAGGGTACAGATTTGCGACTGACTAACAGTGACTAACACTTCATCCCTACTCTGCTTTTGCCCACATAGCATGTGGAACTGCCGGCAGGGCGAACTGACCTTATGTCAAAGGGGGAGATTAGGCGCATTGTGATTTGCCTGCAACAATCACGGCCACACCTACCTTTTTGCAGTCGTGCACTAGAGCTGCTCTACCAGCAGTGCCAGTTGCCCTGCAATAGAATATGGGGTAAAGAAAGGGATAGACAGCCTTTTGTATATTTTAGTATTATCCATGCACTATCAAGTATTAGTGAGCAGAATGTCTACTTGAACCATCTCCAATCTGAGCTACTTCAATCAGAGCCACAGCCAAGAGTTTTGCCTCAGACTTCATCTCACATCAACATCCATCCGCCAGGGAAGCCCGCTGTGCTTTGCTGCTTCGTGACGCCTGAAGCCAAGCGCCGCCGCCATGCCGCGCGCGCCGCATCCGCAGCAGCAACGCCGGCGGTTCCAGCCGCCACACGGGCCGCACCTGCAGAAGGCGCTGCTGGTTGCAGAGATGAGGAGTTGAAGCTTGGCCTTGGGCGGATGCTGCGCTTGGTTGAGAAGCCCACCATGAACAGGCGTGAACTGTGCGAAACGTGGAGTTCGGTTGACAGGTTGATGCAAGCGAAATGAAGACTTATTATGACGTATTAGTATAGTATATATAATATAGTACTTATCATGAATTGTTGTGAAGAGGGCGTGAGGGTTGTTTGTTTCGTATCATCACCTGATCATCAAGAACAACATTGGCGTGTCGTTAGATCCTCAAGAAACTTTGGCCGCTATTGAATTGTTTGTCACAAGTCAAGTTAGGGTTCATGTTGACACAGCATCCTGGACACTTGTTGCCATCAACCCGCAGGTTGGAGAGGGAGTTCCAGCTTTCAGCCGAGCTTGCTGTCAAGTATCCACTTCTGGATTGCGCCCTGAAGAGCAGCGAGGCACTCCACTTGGACCTTCGGTGGAAAATGATGGGCGCGTGGGCTGAGTGTGGGCGCCTCTGTGGGCTTGATGTGCTGTTTGTGTTTAAATACTTTGGTGCAACACTCACATCATACTTTACTGAAATGAAATGCATGTATGCAATGAACTTGAATTCAGAACTTTGGGTCACCTGGACTTCAATATGTGATTTTTAGGATCACATCGAGAGGTTGCTTGGACCTGCTCCAAGGCAGCTCATTTGGCGCCGATCTTGGAATTCCAAAGATTTCTCAAACGACACTTAGAGTGCCTTGGCAGCTCACCTTGGTCGTGCAATTTCTGAAGATGAAGATAGATGAACATGTTAACATGTTGCATCGTTTGTTTTGAGGCTAGAGTGCCTAGTGAACTTGTCTCCCACATTTGGCCTTCGCTTTTGTAGCTGCACACCTCAGCAAATTGCCACCCTGTGTGCATTAACCCGACCGTTTGCGGGAGACCAGTCCAGAGTCCAGGTTTGAAGTCAGCCGCGCGGACGCCAATACCTGGAAGCTGCGCGATGTGCTTTGCAGCTTAAGGGACGCAAGCCACAGCGCTGAGAGCGGCGAGGCTGGCGCCAGTCATCAGTCAGAGGCGGCCACCTTCGCGCGGAATCGAAAGCGATTTGAGCGGTTCCAAAGTGCATGGACTGCATGCAAACAGGTGCCTTGGTTGCAGGGCTCGAAACATCTCGAAACACTTGTTTTCTTGAAGGAGCCGAAGGAGCCTTCCAAAGAATGAGCAGTGAACACCTGCCTTTTGTAATTGAAAGTATTTGAGAATTCCCTTGCTTGTGGCGCTTTTTTCAACCTCAGTTGAGACAATCACATGACTTCCAGCTGCTGGGTTCGGTGCCTTTGTCGCTCCAGCATTCACAGGAAAGGCTACGTCACATTGCACCATGTTGGGTTACCATTACCAAATGTTATTTGGCAGTGGATTGCTAAGGTGAATGCTGTCCGAGAATCCGTTTATTTGCTGACACATACAAGCCCATGGAGACTGCAGTCACCAGAGATTGACTCGATCATACTCGATATATATAATATACAGGAATCGGCACAAATTCATGTCGAACACAAAGGACCGGACACCTCAAAATCAAGCTGCCAGGTTTCGTTGGTGGGTCCATCAACTGACGTTTCGGCACGTTTCGGCAGACCCCAAGCTAAGAGACTCAATTCTTGACCAGTCTCGCATATGTCATATTCATGATATGGAGATTTGGTTGTTCATTTGACCGTGCCCAGAAGAGAGCCTGGGTTGTGCTTCTGGGTTCTCTCCTTCTTAAGTGCTTCTTGGTTGTTCATTGACCTTGCCTCCAAGAAGCACTCAACTTATGCCTCCCAACATTTTTTGAACTCGTTGGAGGTGCCTATTCAGTCAAGTCTGTTCTGTTCGACTATGTAGGTCCGACATGCACTCCTTATTTGCCTCTATGATTTTGAGTGTGTCAGGGTGACCTCACAGTGAAGTCAACATGATGAATCCAAAGTTGAAGAACGAACCGTCGATTCCACCCGATCTGAGGCGGGGTGCATGATCCGCTATGGGTGCAAACAGCTACCCGAGGCACCCGAGATGACCTTGGAATCTCCTGTAAGTGTCCTGGATTGCAGCGACCTCACCCATTCAGATGTCCCACAAGAGTGTTCTCTAAAGCCTACAAGATTGAACTAGAAGAGTCTCCTTCCAGAGTGTCTCCTTCCAGAGTGTCCTACAAATATGTCCTACAAGAGTGTGCCACAGTGTTTCTCACAAGAATGCCCCGCAAGAGAGTAGTGTTCCACAAGAGTGTCCCGCACGAGCAAAGAGGAGGTTAACATCAAGCAAGGGAGCTGCCTTGAGTAGGCGAAAAGCGAAGAACATGTTTACACATCCAATGCCTGCGAACAAGCAGCCCAACCACACAGCATTCTGAAGGATAAAACATTTGCCTCACAGTACGTGCAACAGGAGGCAGAGTACGGAAAAAGAGGCAGACAAAACGTGTTCCAATAGATGCATGTTGCTATAATATGCTTTAACTTTAACTGCATTTTTAATCAAAATGCCAGCATAGTTGACCGAACGAAGCCTTGCTGGCAAAGCTTTGGTCAAAGCTTTGGGCAAGATCGGCGAGCCGAGTGGGAGAGGTCGCAACAAGAATGGCGCACAGCGAGTGTCCAGCAAGAGTGTCCCACAGTCCCACATTGTGTGTGTGGCACAAGAGTGCCCTTGTTGAAGAGTGTCTTCAAGAGTGTCAAGCAAGAGTGTCGCACAAAGGTACGTTGTGCAAGAGCGTCTTTTGAAGAGCGTCAAGCAAGGGTGTCAAACAACGTTTGGCTGTGTGTGTTTGCGTGCGTGTGCGCATTCGGGTTCGTGGGCGTCCCTCAATCTCAAACCGACTTTTAATATCTTTTAATTGGGATTGTCATTTTCTTTGTTTGACACGTTGGCAGTCCGCACGAGCCCAGCACCTCGGGTTGTCGTTTGCGTTCACCTGAGCATAGCATGAAAATCCTCTCGCGCTCAGGTTTGTGCTGCCCAGATGAGACCACCGACGCAGGATCCTTTGTATTGGCCTTGGTTCAAAGCCTCGTGGATCGGCAAAACAGTTTCCTCAAGGAGGCCCGACCCCGCCCTGGATCTCGGAGTCGAAGCCGAGCATTCTCAAAAGGGGAGAACGGGTGGAACGCGAGTTTTTTTTGGCTTTGAACGGCTGAGGAGAAAAGGACAGGAACTTTAGAAAAGGACTGCCCCTGTGGTGTTGGCATTGTGCTTTCGAAGGGGAAAGGGGAGTATGCAGTATTAGTTTCAGTTTCAGTTTCAGTATTCTATGTCTGTTATAGGATGTTCTAGGTATGGCAATAACCAGATTTCGGTGGGTTCCACCCATGCTACGAATGCAATGTTGGCGTCGAACGGCAGATCGATTTAGCTGACGATTGCACCTGGTTGCATGCAGTAGAGGACATGAGTTTTTCCATTTACACCTCTGATTGTGCCGTACTTCGGGGTGGTGTGCAGACCTGGCGATGTGTCCAGAGGTCAAGGACCGTCTCTCTCGATACAGTCGACAGGTCCTGGCCATGGCCTCTCGCGACGCTTTGGGTGCTGCAGCGGCGGTGCGCAGCGTGCTGGAGTATTGGTTTCATCCAGGCTGTCGGGGGCCGCGGTCGGGCGACCTGGGAAGGTCGGGGAGGGACCCCTGTGTTTCAGGAAATCAGGGCGATCTCGGGCCAAGCTGTTGGTTTACAGTGAGATGGGAGTCAGGTTCAGTTCTCAGGACTTGGAATATCCATGGTATGGATCGATCCATATATGATTATCACATAATAGATTTTCCTCCAGCAGTTTCTTTTGCAGGATGCTTCCCCGCCGCCATCCCTATAGCGGTCCTACATGGTTTTCGGTTGATCTTCAAGACCAACGGCAGAGTAACTTGGAGACTTTCCAAAGACCAACGACGACTGCCACGTGTGGGTCGTCTCGACTCAGATTGCAGTGCCACGTCTCCAGGCCACGTCTGCTTGCCCATTGTGGGGATTGAGGAGGTGAACGAGACACACCTTTTGGTTCACAGCACAGAGGACGGGTTTTCAGCTGTGATGGCCGCGACTGGTTGAGCGTTTCGCTGTCGAGTAGAACCGAGGGATGCCAACTGAGTCCGCTACTGCAGGGTGTTTGATCTGAAGGTGTTGAGTGTCTTGAACTTGCGATGACCAATATTGATGTGCTGCGGGTGTGGGTGTTTTGCATCGTCTTGCTGATTCTTGCAGTTTTTCATTCAGACATCCTGTCACCAGCTGAGACAGCCGCCAGGAGGACCACTTTGCGTGGATGACTGGCTTCGGTGCTTCCGGCGCCTTGTGTGGTTGGGAAGAAGAGATGCAAGCAGATGCATCGGAGTTGCTGGTGCCAGGCGTGGGTGGCGTACCTGGATGATTGTCGTACCGTACCAATCAAGTACAAACATAAGGGTGCAATAAACATCCTCAAGTGGAAGGATGGGTCCTTGGACTAAGGCCACTTCTTTGGATTGAAAGATATTTGAAGGCTACAGGCTGGAGTGAGGTACTGGGAGGCTTGAGTACTTTGAGCAGCTACCGTATGCTACGGTTTCGTTTTATGATGTTTTATGAATAATTGTATAATAGTTACTATAAAGATTATAAAGGTACTGTCATATTACTTTTGTATGCCCGTTTTGGAGTGCGGGGGACTGTGAGAGTGCAGTTTTCTTGACTTCATGTGTTGCTCGAAGTGAATTCTTCACTGACCGGACTGTAAAGATGCAGAAGCCAAGAAAACTGCACTCTGGTGGTCCCCTGTTTTGTATAATGATAGTTTTGTAAATATTGGATTGCGGGTGAAATTGGGTGAAGATTAATTGTGTGTTTAGGTGTGGCTCTCCTTGTGCACTTCTGAGGTGAGATTGGTGGCTGGATAAGTTAATAAGTCCTTCAACAGGACAAATCTCCTCAATGGGGCAGCTTTCAAATGCTCCCGGCCACACACAGACAAACTTGGCATTAAACATCGGGATTGGCGGTGAACCCGCCATTGGCTTTGAGGAGTAATGGATTGGTTTCATACCTGGTTGCATAGAATTCATGGCTGCCATATGAATGTTGATGGAGTTGAAGCAAAATGACCAACAGAACAGGATCAGGGGAATCTTCTTCATGTGACCCAGGAGTGGTTCTGCCATTTACCGGTAGATTCGTAGATGTTCCACGGATGTTCTCCCAAACATGGACCTGCCATCGGCCGAGTGTCAACAGAAATCAAGTTGATGGAACCGCCGATTCGGAGGAGCAAGATGCGTCTTTGACTGGAACCTCTTGGAGCAGGAGAGGGTTGATGCTCCACATGTCTGTCGATTTCTATTTTTGACACCTCCGGTTGCGAGCTTGGGAAATCAATGCTCCAAGCTAGTGATCCTGGTGATGATTCCTTTGAAACACATCCTGTATCAGGAAGTGGCCGAGAGACTTCTGCAAAAGGCTGTGCAAATCGACTTTCGAGTGGAGAACTTTAACTTTCCGTTCAAAGGCCGGGTGAAAACCAAAAACTGTGCAGAATAACAAGGCTTGTGTGCAGTCTGGACGAGTACACCCATCGTAGATTCGCATGTATTGATAGCGTGGACAGCACGGGTCGATTTTCAAGTTTGCTTCTCTGCACGCCATGAGCTTGGCAAAAGATCGATGAAGATGTTCATATTCCACGAGCCTCCACTGCTGTGGTGTTCGCCGCAAACTCACCCGCACCATGGAAGACCACAGCTTTTGCGCAAGTTGGTTGCAGATTGCGCGTCAGCCACCAGCTCACCACTTCATGCTTTTATAGATCCCATAAGTAAGCAGTTGCTTGAATCAAGACTGGAAGAGTGGAAACTGCACATGATCCTATTGATGTTCTTCACCTTCATGACATTTGTTCTCCCCTTTCCATGTGTTGCTGTTTGCTTCACCCGTACCTTCTGCCCGTCAGGGGAAGCCTTCCTGAATGACTATCGCTTCTTGGAGGAACTTCATGAGCGGGTCCCACAGGAGCTGAGCCCGGACGAGCCACGTGCCTGCCTCATGTCCACCGTGAAGGCCGCAGGCTTAATGGCCTCCCTCCAGGCGAGTGCAACGGCGATTTGTTGCCGGGGCGCTCGACTCGTCGTGGCTGATGGGGTTGCCAAGGGATTATTAGCAACATGATGCATCATGTGAGCAGAACTTCTACCAGGGTTACTTGTGATTGCCTGCTACCTTTCGTTCACCCCCTCCTCTCTCAAGTTAGCAACATGATGCAACATGTGAGCAGAATCTCTTCAGCTTTGAAGGGCATCAGAATAGCTTTGCACATCTTTACAGTAGGGCCTCGAAGACAGATGTGATCTCAACTAATTAAGGTCACTGTGGATTCCCTCAAGGAATTAAAAGAGAGTATAGTGATGAGTATATATATATAAATAATATCATATGATCGAAAGCATCCTTTTCGCTGTGGCACTTGGGACGTGCCTTTCTTGTTTTTGTTCGACGGTTTTGTGACACTCGACTCTATCGTCTGGTTGGCGTCATGGCGCAGGTGGCCCCGCCTTCTCTCTCCCTCTCAGGCGACCATCGCGGCCGTCCGACGACTCACACCGGAGCCCGGCTTGTCGTTGGACGACTTCTGCAAGAACTGGTTCCACGGGTCGCATTTGCAAGAACTCCTGGCACGGAAGGTGGGGGCGCAGGTGATTCGGGATTTGGGATGTTGATGAATGTTGGGTTCGGACGGATTGGCTGAAGAGGTGATGTTTGCAGGAATTGGAGCGATATGTTCAGCATGATGGTTGTTGGTCCCAAGTGCGAGATGGCTTTGCGTATTTTTGCAGCCATATTGATCAACCTCAAACACCCGATAGGAAGCGACCTGCCGCGGCTTGAATGTTCAGCACCTCGTCCACTTGTTCGAATTGGTCGAAGTTCAAGCAGCAAAGGACCTGGCACAGGCGCACGGCAGGGGGTAGTGCACCCAAGATGAAGTCTGATCGGAAAGGGCAAATACTTTAGATGGTTTGTTGTTTTTGTGTAGAAAAGATTTTGAAAGATATTAGCGTCTCCAAAAACAGTTCTCTTTTGGATGTTCTTTTGTGTCAAGGAAACGACTGAATCCGGCGGAAATGTTTCGGATTCCTGCCGCAACGTATGTCATTACTTTGAAGGACCTCTCACCGGTTGGATTATTCCAACCTTGGAGAAATCAGAGTCCACGCTGCACGATGGCTGAATCATGTGGATGTCTAATTTTGCTCCAAGTCAACTTTGCATGAGCCATGGTTAGAAGATGTTCGAAGATGCATGAAGACTTGATTGTAACGACTCCTGCAAGTTTTCACCGCACCAGGATTCGCTTGGATTCACCACCACCACCACGTACATTGATTCACCGTACGCGCCAGGAAGCAGGGTCCTTGCCGAAGCGATATTGCGTGCCCTTGCCTGAAGGCCTCCCATGCCTCCAGAACTGGATGGGATCACGAGCCCGTGAGATCCAAGAGAGCCTTGGAACTGAACTGAGGTGTTTTGGGAAGCGGAAGACTTCTTCCAGGCTTCTTGACCCCGAAACCCCGGAAAAGGGCGTGTCCGCTTCCCCCAATAGCGGGTGTGAACTTGGGATACTGTATGGTGTTGTTTTTGGTTTGAGGGCCTCTTCCCACTTTTGAGCATATCCAAGGATCTTGTTGAGGATTTACATCCGTTGGCTCACCCATGGACGTCTACAGCCCTCGGAGTTCATCGCAGACTATGCGGAAAGGGCGTCGAGGCTGCCCGTCTTCTTTGGTTCTTGGGTGGTTGGCAGGTCTGGATTGGCATTCTGGCACAGTTGTTCCCCTCAGAGTTCAGTGTCACAAACCCTCCGTATTGGTTGAATGAATGGACTTGTTGGACGAGCTTCCCACTACGCAGTCCTAGGCTGCAACAGTTCAAGTTCTGATTCAGTTAGTTCCTGTGACCGGTCAATGACTCTGGCTGACACATTCGGCTGAATCTGTTGTTTCTCCATCTGATACATTCAGCCGTGCGGTTTAGGGCCCTAGTTGTAAGTTCACGCTGTACCGCGGGGAGGCTTATGCAGCCCTATCAGATGGACGTGAAGGAGATCTTTGGGGATTTGCAGCTAGCTCATGTACAGGCTGCGCTAACCTTTGCTTCCAACAGATGTCCCACGGAGTGAAGGTTGGTCTGAAAGTCTGAATTTGGCCAACCCGGACCATTCTGCTCTGAAGAAGAGAGCTTCATAGAGAAGCAGTGGTTGGTTATGTGGTTCGTCAACCATAGATGCTGCAGTAGGTTGTGTTGCTGTTCTTATTTGTGCCACATGGTTGTCTATTTGTGTTGTTCCAAGAGCCACGCTTTAGGTTTTGCATGCAGATCTCAACATTGCTGGATAACATTATACATCATTATACTACAGTTTTGAGGGTTGAGATCCCTGCCAAGGCTTTTTTAATTAGAACCCGTTTCTGACAGCAGCTCTTCCAAGCCCAATCGTGGCCGCTGGCACCTTTGGTTTTCGATGCATGATGCTCTTACAAGGCCAACGATGGAATTCCGACTTGAGCTCAGCGAGCCTATCCCTATATGCTCGCGTTTGATGCCCTAAGACATCAGATTGGTTCAGGATGTCCTAACGTAACAATAGAGGACTACCCAAATCCTACGGTCGATGTAAGAAGCCCTTGCACCGCCAAGTTCGTCGCCCTAACAGCGCCCAGAGGAGCCAGCCTATAATCTAGAATCCTTAGATGCAGATCACACTCGTGTAGTGTGGATTTGTTAAAAACGTGGCGAACTCTTAGACACTGCGGTGAAAAGCTTGCCGAACGCTTGGTCTCGACGTGGTGTCTTGTGTCTTGGCTTTATGTAAAAATCGACGGAGGACGTCCATATCATTAGAAACAAAATATATGTTGGACGTATCATATGAAATAATATATTATATGATACTAGCGTGGAGAGGCATTTGAAGAAAGCCCTCCACCTCTGGCACTTTGTGATGTACAACGATCTCACTCCTAACATGGGGTAGCCTTTCGGCAGTACCGTCTAAGCCAGCCATGCAGCCATGGCTTTGTATCGGCCCCCGAAAGCTTGGCCAAGCTGGGAAGCAGAGATTGTCAGGCTCATGCCAGATTGGAGTTTGCAGTAGTGGAGCCATCCCGTCACATTCGCCATGCAGTGCAGCTCCTGCCACGTGAAGCGCTGCTCCACCGAATTTCCAGGCACCACGCTGTCTGAGACCTGTTCTTCGGCAGATCAGCGGCGAAAGGGTGTTGAAATGTGTCGACTGTGTGGCTCACCCAAGTTTGCTGCTGAGCAAGTTTTCAATATTGTTTTGTCATTTATATATATATATAGACATGACACATATATATATATGCTACCCCCCACAGGACCCACCTTTTTGGGCTTGCACGGCATATTGTGAAGGTAGCATTTTGCATAAGCACCTGAACCTTATATAAACCTACAAATGTAATGTATCTGCTTTGTTGTGTTTATGTGCTTCAGTCCTTATGTGTGGTCTTCATTGATAAGGCCAAATTTGAGGACATTTACACGCAATACAGCTATAACATATGCATCCCTCTTTGTCAACGTATTTACAGTTTGGTTCATCTTCATGTTCAAACTCTTCTGGATGAGTTTGTTTTCTGACATTCTATTCTCTTGGTGAAAGTTTCCCTTTTTGTGTTGTGTTTTTAACACCACTGGACATCATATTCACATAATGGGTGTTTTTTTTCCTGATGCCTTTGCCTTTGCTCTTTCATTTGCTTCCTTACTCTTCCAGGGTGGTTTTCTTCCATTCTTTCCTTTTCTGTTGGTGGTGTTCTGTATTGTTGCAATAAATATGTTCTTGATTGTGTGGCTCTACAATGTAAATCCTTCAGCAAATCTATCTAATGTTCTATTATTCCGACATGCTTTGCAATACTGCTCAGTAGTATCCATTACCTCATCCTTTGCAATTCTGTTTAGAACGTTTAATAGTGTTCATTACGCAGTATATATATATACCCACAATTTCTGTAAATACTTTTTATACAATACCCTTGTTTTTTGTAAATATTCGTTTACAACTACTATTACATCTATGACAGTGACCAATGAATTTCATTATTTTTTTCATTGAGCTGTCAGATTTGTTGATATACTACCCTTTTTAATATCTAATTTCAATCCACATCCACATTAATTACTGTACATTCAGTGGTTATATTATCCATAAAACATTCAGCATTAATATATTATGCCTTAGGTATTTCTCTTTTAATATTTCTATCCTGTATTTTGTATTGTTCAACATTCCTATTAAAGTTGCTTCTAATTTAAATACATTGTTTATTCAATTCATCTTCAGTATCATCACTGTATTAAACAAACACTTAACTCTACTTAAATCCCTAGCTCGTGTGATTGCCGTCCAAGCCACTCCCTATAATTTCTTATCAGAAAGTGGTTGTAATCAAAGATAATATATAATATCAGCATCTATACTACTACCTTGGGCAGAATGACAAGGAACGTAAGAAACAAATTTGAAAAGATCCCCAAAGCATTCACTGAAGTCAGCATTACCAGAGCATTTACACCCATTCATCAGCATCTATAAAGCAATGGTTTTTTGTCCGTTTGATAAATGGAAAGTATATATATATAACGACACGGTCGATTATGTTCAAGATGCAGGCAAGCAACGCCACCGGAAATCGACGCACCAGTGACAGCTATCAGCCATGCTACAGCGATGAATTTGTGAAGAAGATGAGTTACAAAACCCATATAAAGTTGGATCAATAAATTAACAATCATATTATAACCATATTGCGTCAGACACATTTGCTTCTCGGGCCCCGAAATGTCCACGAACTTATATATATATATATAATATAGACATATTTAGACGACAGCTACTGGTACGGCAGGATGCTAAGCTATGTATTACACTTGCTGGTGTTTGGCTTGACCAAGGAACTGTCACGGCTTTGTGAGGACATGTGTGATCATGTCGAGAAGACATATTCAAGCAGTTGGGCAGTGGAACTTCCTTCCGGCTGAGTTCTATAAGACTTATTCGAACCGTGTTCGGTCAGATCATAAAGCTAAAGAACTGCCACATTGCTCAGTGTCCCGTCATCCCTTTGTAGCCGTCATTGTCATCGCATATCATGCTTAGCAGTCAATATGCTTTTGACCGGCAATTGACGCAAAAGAATAATTGCATGTGCACATAATATATTGTTCATCGAGAGATCCTACATGTGCTGTGAGGCACCAGGAATAACTCTTATTTGTCAAATTGAATTGTAGATTGTAGATAGCCGATGTCGTGGGATTTCTCTCCGGAGAATGAGCGGAGTACGTTTGAACTGGTCCACGGCATCACCGGATTCACGATGTCTGAGGCGAACATCCGCCGACCATTTGTTTGAGCTGTTTGAGGAAGTTGCAAAGCAACTTAGAGAGCACCTTGGATGGATGTCCGAGAATAAATACATCGGTCAGAGAGCACTTTTGCGATCTTTTGCGTGTTCAGAGTTTAGACGTCATCATACATGCTCCGAAAATCTTTCAGGGGCGGAATTTGATGACAGCTCTGAGAATGTGATTGTGTCCCGATTCAGGCAACCCTGATACGTCAAGGTGTCCAGGATTTGGTGAGCATACTTCCTAATCGCTTTCTTGGATGCTTACTCTCACATACTTAGACATCTTTCTGACCGCAGATTAGCATAGCATAGTCGGGCGTTGGCTGACGATTCAGAGAAACGACGATTGATGTGTGACCCGGCAAGGCCTCTCTCATTGTCCACAGTGCTGGGAACCGTTGGCCACAGCGGATTGTCAGAAGCTCCAAGCAGCCATCAGACACTGTGGCTTGGTTGCTGCAGAGCGGCTGGAACTGCACTCCATTGATTTTTGGATGACAATGGATTCCAAGCCCAGACCATGCGATGAAAACATATACATGCCACAAGCCGGGATATGCCAGGTGATGATTTTGGTGCCATCAACACGTAGCTTTGATTCAAGACACTCCCTGGCCACATGATAGGCTTATAGGGCCCTATGAGTCTGGACCGGCGGGACTTCCACGAATTCCTGGCAGGAAACTGCGTTGAAAAACCGCCAAGTTGTGGGTAGGAACCCCCCCAAGGTATGTTGGAGAAGCCCAGGTGTTCTTCGCGAAGCATGCTTTAGCTCAAGTTGGTTGAGTCACTGCAAATCGGCAGACAGTTTCTGGCTCTGATCATGCTAGCAGAACAGCTTTGTATGGACCATTTGAAGGAGCCTTATGGAGGCGAAACAAACTGTCGCTCAGTTGGTGAGGCGACCGAGCCTGTGCTGCTTTTGAAGATCTTGACATCTTGAAAGAACGTGAACAGAAGGCGCAGCCGCGGCGCAGCCACTGCGCAGCCATGTGCAGCTTCCCCTCTTTGGGTAAGTGATTCTCATCTCAGCTGAATCAGCTTTCTGCTTTCCTTTTCTTTTGGTGGGCCTGACCAAAAGCGACCTCAGCGGAGGCCAAAGAGGAGGCGAATCTGGACCCCATGGGCCTTGTTGGGACAAGAACTGGAGAAATCGAGGCGTGGCGCATCGGCATATCGAGATCTGCTGTTTCTGGATCCAGCAGTATCGTTGGCATCGTTGGCCACTATAATATTATATATATATATATTTATGTTAGTTAATAAATGGGTTCTTCTTCATTTGGGTACATGGTGGGGAGCGAACGGTTCCGCCTAGCTATGGTCTCAATGGGGGCTGTTCTGCAGATTGGTTGCCTTGTTGCACCTCGCATTGCGTAAATGGTGATCCTCTCTCCCTCAAGAGAGATGGTTTGGTGCAACTGCAACGCATGAATCTTCCGAAGTAGAGCAGTTTGGACTCACTGCCACACACGCGTGCGTGGAGAGAGGGTCAAGATTCCTCCCCTCCAAAGGCGCCCGAAGCCGCAGCAGGCAATCACACACCATATGGATCCATATGGCAGGATAGTCAGTTTTGGGTTTAGGGTGTGAGCCGAGCCAGTTTGTAGCATCATAACGGAGTAATAGTTGATCGAACTTGTACAGTGAGAGTCTGCCTACTATTCAGGTCTTTCGAGTGAAAGCCCATTCACCACAGATAAACAGTGGCCTCATGACATTCGTAGGTGCCACAGAAAGGGGGCTATGTGGGCTTACTTGCAATATATTGTCCCTCGGATCTTTTGGCTTGTTTTTGGAGATTGACACGGGCCTGCAGCCTGCGGCCAATTTCAGGTGACAGTGCTTGACGGGCGTCGGTGCAAGCTGTGCCCTGGCATGGGCCGTTTTGTAGTCTGCGAAGTTCAGGCACAACGTTCTTCTACTACTAAATCAACCTAAATCAAGATGT